CAGCTCAGGTCACAATCTCAGTTGTGAGATGGAGTCCCGCCTCAGGCTCTGTGCTGGGCGTGCAGCCTGCTTGGGATTCTCTCTCTCCCTCTGCCCCTACCCCACTCGTGCATGTGCTCTCAAAAAATAAATAAATAAAAATGGAAATTGTATTTATTTCACATCTGCTTTGATCTACCATCACATATACAACATCCTTGCACCAAAAACAATTAAATGGGAAAAAATGATGGCCTGTGATTAGGAAAAAAATTTGAAATTTCTATCCAGACACTTAGGAAGTTAACCTCATTTAGGACATTTAATGGACAATAACTTGGCCCAGAAGTATGTTAAGTAGGGAAAGAGTTTGTAACTTAGAATACTTGAAAAATTCTTAACACTCACATGAAAAGATGTTTTGATTAAAAAAGCAAAGGTCAACCCTGAAATTATTTCCAAAATTTCCTGTGACTAAGAAAAAACTTCCTTTTAAAATAGATGGCAATATATTTGGAGAAAGAAAAACCATAGAAAAGAACAAATACAGGCTTAATCTGCCAGATCTACACAGAAAGAATCGTCTGCTACAAAAAAATTATAGACACTCATACCAATAACACAAGACTTTCTTACAGAGATTCCATCAAGTCTCCCTGACGTCTTCCATAAGGGCTCTTCTGTAGCTCCATGATTTCAGTATGCAGGGACATGATCTGATCCTCCAGGTAACCAATGACACCCACCTAAAATATGACGAAACACAAAAGAAACGACAGGCTCACCACCCACAAACTGGAAAAGAACTCAGAGAATGACTTGCTGCCAACAGTAGAATTAAATGATTTTATACAAAACACCGATTTTGTTCAAGTGTTTTTATCTTTCAGATTCTGGTGCTTAATCTTTCATGCAAGGACAGACTTAATACCTATGTCTCTCTTTTCTCTCCCGACAACAGTAAACTGCTAGTATTTGCTTTCTCCCCCGAGAAGCAAAAAGATAGATGTGTCACTAACAAGACAGAGGAAAAATGGCCATCAAAACCACTGCATCTCAGTTCTATGATTTTTCATTGCCTCTTGTTCCTGACTGCCTTGAAAAAGAATGCAGAAATATAAAGACACCGGATTTCCTACCCAAGGATATCTACTGCCTTACCCATGTTCTTGGGGTAAGTACTGGCATCCAGGAGAGTAACAATTTAGTGGGACCATGGACAGATGTAACCAGTAAGGAAGGAATATGCCACCTAGAGAATGACCTATAACTAGCATGACCATATATATAATTTATTGTTCAGACAAGCATAATTTTGAGAGTGAAAGGGAGTACTATTGCTAATTATGGCAAGGCAGGTATAAACTAGAAGGTATAAAACCAGGATGTACAGCTACCCTATCTAACTAATCATAAAAATAAGTGATAACTACCACTTATTATTTACTCCCATGTAATCTGCATAACCCTACTAAAACCCTACTAAAAAGGTAAGCACATTAATTGGAAACTGAAGTTTAGTGAGCTTTCAGTTTAATCTCATTTGCCCAAAGCCCCTGTTTTATCAACTATGGTACTTCCCTCTATACACACAGAGCATCTACTAGATTTTTGTCTGATATGCAGGAATAACATGAAAAATACCCTACATATCGAAACCAAAGACAATTTCTAAGAATTACAGAATGAGCTAGTGATTTTACCTCAGCATAGTGGATAGCCTTTTCTTCCATTTCCTTCCATGCTTTTAACATTTTTTCTGAGGCTAAAAAAAAAAGTCTTAATCGGTTATCTCAGAAATAGCCACAGCTTTAATTACTGACCTACCCACCTCCTTGCCATATCAACATCAAAAATATATAGTTATAGGTTGAACTGTCCCTCAAAAAGATATGCTGAAGTCCTAATTCAGTACCTCGGAATGTGACCTCATTTGGAAATAGGGTCACTGCAGATGCAATTAACTAAATTAAGATGAGTTCATCCTGGAGTAGGGTAGATTAATCCAGTATGACTAGTATCCTTATGAGAAGAGAAGAGACACAGAGGCCCAGACATATGAAGGGAGAGCTCTATTTTGACGACAGAGGGAGAGATTAAAGTGCTACAGCTACAAGCCAAGGAACACCAAGGACTATTGGCGTGAGAAGCTAGAAAGAAGCAAGCAAGGATTTTTCCCTACAACTTGCAGAGGGATCATGGCCCTGCCAACATCTTGATTTTGGATTTTCAGCCTTTGGAACTATGACATGGCAAAAATTTCTGTGGTTTTTAGAATTTCTAATTCAAATGGTTTTCTCTTAAAAAAATGAAAAAAATAATACATGAACATGATTTTAAAAAAACAAATACTATAAAACAGAAGACAAAAAGAAAACACTCTCTCCTCCTCCCCGCCACCGTAAGGGATCTTACTATTAATCACTTGTTACACAGACACCTACACTTTACCCTTATAAGAGAGACCATCTATATATACTTTTCTTTCTTTTTTTTCCCCAACTTAAAACATCACTGCCGTTAAAGACCCAAGTGATCTTTTAATATCAGTACACATGTCTATGCCATTCTTTTTTAACAGCTGTACAAGGTATGCCACTGACAAGTCAAAGATAATTTGATGTGGGGTGCCTGGGTGGCTCAGTCAGTTAAGCATCCGACTCTTGATTTCGGCTCAGGTCATGATCTCATGGATGTGAGATCGAGCCCACATTGGGTTCTGTACTGGGTATGGGGCCTTCTTGGGATTCTCTCTCCCTCTCCCTTAGCCTCTCTTTCACTCGCCCTTGCTCTCTCAAAAAACAAACAAAAAAATAATTTGATGACATAATTATAGTGTTTTGCCATTCACCAGAATGCCTATTATACACAAATAGAAATAAAACACTAATCATAGAACCAACTCTAGTAGATAAACTTATTTACCCAATTGGACACTGCTGATCATTTATTCTAAGACACACATACCTTGCTTAAGACAAGTTTACAAAGAGGATTTATGATAGAAAACAAATAATGGTGGTGACCCCTTCAGCTTATTATTTGAATTTTAAATCTGCTTTTTTACATTTCCTTAATATAACTGAAGAGAGAGAGCCTGGAGTTAAATATTGAAAAACTGGAGGCTGTGTATTTTTTAAAAATGGGACTCCACAGTAGGTGGTTTGAAAGGAAAACAACCCTGGAATTATTTGTGTTATTATTTATAGAAAGGTAAGTAGTTTAAGATTTCCCTGTCTAAGAAGTCATCCCGATACAGACTTTGGATCTATTTTAAAACTGAGGCTTGAAAATCAAAAGTTCTTAAATTGCCTTTGAATTTTTCTGGAGCTAAATGATTTTAGTACAATTACAGTCCAACTGGGGAGGTGGGGGGCGGAGTAAAGTTGCTAAACTAAAGGTTAAAAGAAAGAGCTACTATTCAGTACAAACACAGTTTATGATGACTTTAGGCGTCCTGTCTCTTCTTCTAACATGAATAGAAGTCAAACAATGGGCTATGAGGCAAGAAGGCAAAATGGGAGATGGCTTCAAGAGACCTGACACTTCTTTCAAACATGTTACCCAAACACTCACATATCCCGTAAGTCATCTGCTCACTGTATCTTTCCAAGTCAAGTTGAATGCTTTTGTGGAAAAACTCCAATTTGGCTTTCAGTTGCTGAGATGCTGAGATCAAAGTGTTCTTCATTTTTGTCAGGTTTGCATTATATCTAAGAAGACTTAACCTAAACCGTAGCCAAAAAAAAAAAAAAAAAAAAAAATTGGTATTTCAGAAACACTGGACAACTTAATAGATTAAGTTGCCATAAACCCAAAGTCTAACTTTCTATTATCAATCTATGAAAAATAGTTAATTTCTAGAATCAGCTCTCTAAAGACTCCCTACCTGTGATATTCTAAGATAAAACAATCTTCTTATACTAGGACTGTTCAGGAACTACTCTCAAGCCATTGCGAATGGATGATTTCATACCATTAGAAAGAATTCTTTAAGTTTGTTGAGAATATTACACTCCAGATTAGCCCAATATTTTAGTATTGTGTGAATACTGATTAGTGAAAAAAGCAAGATTAATTCTTGAGCATTAATGCACATGACACTGTACTGATAAACAACAGAATCCTCTTACATTGCTGCTCTTTGTCCCTGAAAGAGCCTGCTGTAGTCTTCTTTTAGCCCAGACACATAATGCACTGCTTCAGCCCATACTTTACGTAGCTGTATAATTGGAAGTTGTATTTTGCTGTCCCGTACTATACGTAAGCAGATGGGAAAAAGAAGATGCTTATCATTCTTTGTGATTTCCTGTCCATGCAAATATCATTCCTAAAGATTCTAGAAATGGATGCTAGAAAGAACCAATTGTTAGTGTTTCATGCAGTTCAATATACATTTATAAGCATCTGCAATACACAGCCCTATTCCAGCTATGAGGGGAAATAAAAATGAGTAAGACATAATCATAAATTTGCAATTATTCTTTTATCTGTCTTTTTTCTTGCTTCTCTCCAGTCGGAAATACTTTTTTTCTTCATTAATCCAAATTCTTTATTTCTTTCAAGTTCTAAATCAAGTCCCAAGTCCTCTATAATCTGCTATGGTCTTTGCTGCCTCTAAATAATAAATTTCATCTCCTGGACTACCAACCCAGCTTCAGGAAAACAGATACAGTAAACAGCAGTTTAATAAGATATGTTCTCTTCACTGCCAGATTTACAAAATTATTTATTGAGGGTTATCTCTTGCCCTTGGTAAAGGAAATGCTAGTTTCTAACACCATGGCAGATATGTGCTAAGTTCAATGAAATTCCATTTTAACATTATGAAATTCTCCAAGATTGAAAGAGATTCATCCTATACTTTAAAGTGGCAATTACATTCTGTTATTCTTTTCCAATGAAAACATTCAGAGAAAGGATACTACACTATGGTTTATATTGAAAAACCGTATTATCTGAAGCAGACTTAAAAAATAATAATAAAGCTATGTACCTGGAAAAATCTCTGTCTCCCCTAATAATTGATAGTCTGAATTAACCTTTCTTCTATTCCATATGCCCATAATTACTCCTGAGATTCCTACAACAGACAAAAACCCCAAACCAAAAAAATATATATATATAACCCAAACACTTTAAAGAAAAAGTCTAGGGGAGGGGAGCCTTTTCACACACAAAAAAATCATATACATACTTTAAAAAATAAAGTCTAGGGGTGCCTGGGTGGCTCAGTCAGTTAAGCATCTGACTCTTGGTTTCGGCTCAGTTTATGATCTCAGTTTGTGAGTTCAAGCCCTGTGTTGGGCTTTGTGCTATCTGCTTGGGATTCTCTCTCTCCCCCTCCCCTGCTTGGGTTCTCTCTCTCTCTGAATAAATAAACTTTAAAAACTATATTAAAAAAATAAAGTCTAAAAATTGACACTCCAGTAGCAAGAAGCACACCTAGTGTCCAAATCTTGGTTTCTAATACTCTTCTCCGATTAAAGGAACCAGGGGTCCTTAGAGAAATGGCTGATCCTAGGACTGGGGCAAGAAATATACAAGATGGACCTGGAACATCTCTTGCTGCCAGAAAGGAAGTGCTAATAACTAACTAACTAAGTAAATAAATAAAACAAGGAAAAGTCTGAGAAACTGTCACAGCCCAGAGGAGCCAACTAAATGTAATATGGTACCCTGGATCAGATCATGGAACAGAAAAAGGACACCACATCAAAACTAAGGAAATAGGAATAAAGTATGGCCTTAATTAATAATTGGTTGGTTCTTTACTTATAACAAATGTACCATACAATATAAGATGTTAACAAATGAGGAAACTATATGTGTTGGGAAGGTGAATAACGTAAGAACTCTGTACTATCTGTAAATCTAAATTTACAGATTCACTATCTGTAATGTAAATTTAGATTTACTATCTATAAATAGTAAATAGTTTTTACAAAAAGCTACAAAAAGGTAACACAGATGAAAGATTACAGAATTTTAGCCCCATGCCAGTTGTGTTCTTGATTTTACAATACTGTGCTTGATTTTAGTTTTGGGTATACAGAAATTGATCACTTCTTCCAAAGAAAAGAGTAATTCTTACAGGATAAATGAAAACATTTGAACATTAAGCAGTATTCATACAATAAAATGAAATATTTGAATATGTTTAAATAATGAAGAAGCAACTAGAAAGTAGGCTTAATTAATAGTGGAGATTCATTCTTCTGTGACAGCCCTAACCCACAGAAAGTAAGTCTTCTTTCAAATGAGGGTTTTAGAGTGATTTGACATCTACCATTTCACCTTCCAAACTATATAAATTCATTTTTAACCACACTTAAAAACCTGAAGTATGAAGTACAGAACAGAAACACCAAAAGACCATTTCTACTAACCATATTGAGTCAAAATAATATTATTTCATGTTTAAACCTCACTCAGTAAATGGGCTATACATACTTACCAATGTAATTTACACAGTCAGATAAACTTCTGGAAGCAAATGGTCCTTCATATACAGTCTTACTTTTATCAAACAAATATACCATATAGCTATCACAGCCTCTCTGAAAAAGAAACAATTAAAAAAAAATCCTTGAAAATCCTAGGTTCTCTAAGTACTTAAACATCACATTTCCTAATGTGAAATGCAAATGATTAAGGTCAATGTTTACTAGCATACCTTTTACAAATTTAAGATCTAGACTACTATTTAAGAAAAATGACTGTAGTATGGGCTAAGATGAAAAAGAATCACCAGACCCAAAAGTACAAAAGTAAAGTCTAACAACATATATCCACACAATGAATACTAGTCAGTAATCAAAAGGAATGAAGTTCTGATACATGCTAGGACATGGATGAACATCCAAAACATGATGCTAAGCGAAAGAAGTCAGACACAAGAGACTACAGACTGTATGATTTCGTTTATATGAAATGTTCAGAAAAGGCAAATTACAGAGATAGAAAGTAAATTAGCAGTTGCCTGATGTGAACAGAATGGAGATTAAGTGTTAGTGGACATGAAGAATATCATTGGGACGTAAATGTTTTGAAGCTGATTTATAGTAATGGCTGCACAATTATGTACATTTACTAAAAAAAAATTGTACACATGAAATGGGTAAATTACATGAAATACAGAATTTGCCTCAATAAAGTAAAACGACAAAAAACAATAAAAGAGTCACGAGCACAATATTTTACCATCCATCTATCCTCTGGCAGGATCTATGAGACTGCTGGTCTAATTTCAAGGCTCTAGGCTTCAAGTACAAAAGAGGGAAAAAAGAGGGGGGGAGAGAACTGGCACCAAAGAGAAAGTCATACAAAGTTCAAAACATATCTTGTTCACCTTGCAAAGCAGTAAGAGTAAGGAGCAGGATAAAACTAAAGTAAGAATTATAAGGTGTACCATCACCTCCCCCAGGGGGATTCCAAGTATGCATCAGAAAAATGCAGGGCATTCAATCCCTCTATGCTAACAGACTTCTTATACTTCTAGGTATATTAGAATTCTCTTACAACTCCATCTAGGACACATTGAGAGGCTGGTTTCCGAGGATCCAGAGAAATTCCCGTCTCCGAAAGAAGCTCTTGAGAACCAGTACTTATTCCAGTTTCGCGCTCAATACGAGACTGCAGTGAGTGAAGACTTTCATCAGGTGGTAACAGAAAAGAAATTATCTTTGCAGAAGTCATATTTAGAATGTGTACTATCTGTATAAATAAGAAAAACAGTGATTATTGATCATTTACTACATAAAAGATTCAGTGCTAGATACTAAAGGGAATATGAGCAAAAGGTATTATCTTTGCACTAAACAAGGCTTAATCATTTTCCAAAGTGAGATCTCCTTCCATAATTACAAAATAACATTCTGAAAAATGAAGAGTTTACTTTTCTGTAACAGATGTTAGTTCCAAAGAATAAAGCTTAGAAACTATAGGCATGTACAGAATCTAGAAATAAAAGCCCTAATTTAGAAAGGCAATATTTATTTATTCTCAGAAACCTATTATAGATCTGGAAGGAAATACTCCCATTTATGAAGTCCCTAATAGATGCCGACCACAGAGTTAAGTGTTTTCACATGACATCCTGTTGATTAGATCTTCTAATTTCCATTTAGGCAAAGAGAGAAACCAGAGCCCTGAGAAGTCTTTTGAAGACAACATGATTTTAAGTTCTCTTCCTTCTACTATCCTTAGATAAGCCATACAAAGTTAATACCTATGTTTCTCCAGTGCCTTACATTGACTCCACAGGATAATGGCCAAATAGAAGATACTAAGAAACACTAAGAGAACTAAAATACAAGTCAAATGCTATATGTACCAAAATAATGTAAAGTATTGTACAGATTCCAAAGGAGTTTGCTTGGTGTGAGGAAAGGGATGCTTTCTAAAGGAGGCAATTATGAGCTATACTTTGGAAAGGATAGAAAATTAGAACAAGAAAAGATTGAAAGAAGAAAGGTTCTTCTAGGTAGAAAACAAGGTAGGCAGAGGGGTAGAAAGAGATGACCATAACCAAAGAATATAAACAACCCAGTTCAAACGTACCTAAAATGATGCCCCTTATAATAGGAGATAAGGCTACAAGGAGACCAAGGCAGATTCTGAACATCAATGTAAGGGTTTGGACTTTATTCAATAAGCAAAGAGGAACTATGGAAGGCTTTCTAAATTGAGAATCTGACAAGCTCAGAATTGTTAAAACATCCAAAGGATAAATCTGACAAAATAATTGGATATGTAATTGGAAGAGAAGGAACAGTCAGACAAGCCACCCCACCTAGGTAACTAAAAAGGTGATAGTACAAGAGGCATAGGAAAAGCTATAGGAGATTTAATGGAGCAAATGTGTTCAGTTTTTAATAAATTAAGTCTTGAGTGCCCGTGGGACCACCAAGGATAGTTATAGAGCAGTGATTAAACACTACAGAAAAGTCACAACTGAGGAAATAAATTTGGAAGTGATCCATATTCAGTTTATAGTTAAAGTTATACAACTAAAGAAATTACTAAAGAAAAGGAAGAAAAAGTAATATGGAAAAAGAAAAAAATTAGGAGAGAGAGACATTTAGGGTATAGTTACACTTAGGGGCATAAAAGAGGAGGCAAAGAAGGAATAATTAAATACTTCTGTTTTACCATTACCTTCAGTGGCAAGTTCAGTATATTTTTTTCAACTTTCCTATATATTTAGAATTTTTCATAATATATAGTTAGAAAACCATGCAATCAGACTCTCTGAATTTTTTAAAAGAAAGAAGTATTCCAGTAACTGTTTTGATTTCTTTTCTTTTTTTAAGTGAAAACTAAACACACATCATTCCTTCTTTGAACAACGTAACACGTTAGAAAATGTTCTCCAATAGCAAACTATTTTTGCAGTACATGCTTCTGTGTTCGTGGTATTCCCCTGCCTATCTTTCCCCCTGTTAATTCTCCTCTTACTTATCTTTTTTTTTTTTTTTTTTTTTCTTTTGAGAGAGAATGCACAAGGTGGGTAAGGGGCAGAGGGTGAGAGAGAGAATCTCAAGCAGGCTCCATGTCCAGCATGGAGCCCAATGTGGGGCTTGATCCCACGACCCCAGGATCATGACCTAAGCTGAAATCAAGAGCCAGGTGTTCAACTGACTGAGCCATCCAGGCACCCCAATTAACCCTTACTTATCTTTCAAAATTCAGTCCTATTATCATGTCTAGGAAATATCTCTGAATTAATTAATAGTATCCTACACATACCTTATCCTGTACAACCTCACAACAGTGAGCCTTTGAATAAGATATTACTGTACCTGGGCTATAAATAAAATACAATAAATAAATATTTGCCCAGATTCACAGATAGGTAAATAGTGGTTCTACAAACTGAAGTCTACAGACCAAAAGACATACAAAGAGGACTCTTTCCCTATGCTCTATAACAAGCAGATGCTCGCTCACAGACTCCACAGAGTGGAAATGATGCTATGATTACCATGACAAATCTGAAAAAATCTGGGATAAAAGATAAAAATTTTCAGGGGCAACAAAGAACTAAAAGGTGTTATCAAATCCTGCTGGGCTAACACACTGAGGAATGATTCACTCCTTGGCACAATAAAAGAAAGCCAAATCAAGAAGGCAGGTAACTTTTCAGTGTTAGCCAAGAATGACATCGACAGAGTCCCAAGTTCCTATTTACTAAAGTATGCCAAGATTATAGTAAAACCTTACACATTATAATTTCTCATTTAAATTTTTCAAAAAATAAAATTTAGCCCCATGCCCAACTGGCCTCCTTCCACCTGCAGGATGGCCTTGATCGCTCACAGCCAAGCCCTCACCACAGATTCTGCCCCTTCATGTTTCCAATTTTAGAAACTCTATCTAGTACTACTCAGTCAAATAGCTATGGAAAGACTGCATATGAGAATCATTTCTGGGTATACAGCATAATAGAGCCTCTCATTCCTATCAATGAATATTTACTGAGAACCTGGTACATGCCCTGCTTTGTATAGAACACTGGGGTAGAGTGGTAGTAGGGTGAGCAAGTGTTAATAAAAGTAGTAAGAACCATCCCAGCATTAAAGAAGAAGATAACCTATATGGAGAGACATGAGTAGAAGATGGGAAACAATTAGAAAATATAGTAAATATGATTATATGACAAACTATGTGACAGAGATCAATCAGAGAAAAGGAGAGTAGAATATGTGCCAGTGTAGCTGAGGAGATACAGAGACAGAGATCATTCTGGGCAGAGGACAGCATCTATCAGAGCACAAAAATGGATAATGTGCTTCATGGCATAAGGAGCAGTGACAAGTGAAGTAAAGGGTAAGAGAAGCAGGTCTGGGGCAAGCACTTGGTTGAATGGAATTGCATGAGCAAAGCTCCAAAAGCCAGGGAGATCAGTTTAGACTTGACTTGGCAGGCAAGAAGAAGAAATAAGTTGGATTCTTAGACAGGAGAATAAAAAAGCATTTTCAGAAGATGAGATGGGAAGTTCATGCTGCATGGATTGTAGGATGGGGAGGAGGTATAGAGGCATGAAAGCCAGACAGGACATTTCCTCACCAAACCAAATCCCCTAACATTATACTTAAATGAACGAGATCCAATGGCACCAATACGAGGAAGGGGAAAATCCAAAAGATGTTTTTTAAGAGTAATCAACAAAGACCACTTAGAAGTAAAACTAAGGGGTGCCTGGGTGGCTCAGTCAGTTAAGCGTCTGACTTTGGCTCAGGTCATGATCTCACGGTTTGGGAGTTCAAGCCCCGCGTCAGCTGTGCTGACAGCTCAAAGCCTGGAGCCTGTTTCAGATTCTGTGACTCCATCGCTCTCTGCCCCTCCCCCACTTGTGCTCTGTCTCTAAGTCTCTGTCAAAAATAAATAAACATTAAAAAAAAAAAAAAAAAGAAGTAAAACTGAGAAGGGGCGCCTGGGTGGCTCAGTCGGTTAAGCGTCTGACTCTTGATTTCAGCTCAGGTCATGATCTCACAGTTCCTGAGTTTGACCTCCATGTTGGGCTCTGCACTGGCAACATGCAGCCTGCTTGGGATTCTCTCTTTCCCTCTCTCTCTGTCCCTCCCCCGCTCATGTTCTCTTGCTCTTTCTCTCTCTAAAATAACTAAACTTTTTTTTAAAAAAAGAAGTAAAACTGAGAAGGCTTACTAAAGAAATAAAAGCAGATCAGCTCTAAGAATATCATTTTCTTTTCAAATAAGCATCAGGAAAAGATTACCAAAATATATTTATGCTTATTTCCAGATAAATTTGTTAACTTCAATGCAAGTCTTAGGAAGTAGACCACATTCAAACTAACCTTCAAATTCAGAATGTGATCCATTAATAGAAAACATCTTGGCTGCTTCAAAGTGAGATCAACAGGTCCTCCTCTTTGCTGAGGATCCCAATTCAGCATCAACTGAAGCCAGTTTTCCATGGGCTCTACTATTAAACTAGAAAGTATACAAAAAAAATAGGGTGAAAATCTTTATGTTCCAACTTTCCTTTAGTATTCTAAAAAAAGTAATTTTATAGGTTTCCCATGTCCTTTCTCATGACTCATCTGTGCCATTTTGTATCTTACTTTCAAGTAATTCATGAAATGACAAACTTTTTTTTCCATAAAAAACAACCCGAAACCTACATATGTAAGTACTAGCAACTTCACTAGATGAGCCCAGTTCAATTTTCCAAGGAACCCATTTACTTCAGTATCCCAAAAGTCTTCTTAAAGCAGGAGTTCTTGTTTCCACTAGACCTGTGCCGTCCAATATAGTAGCCTCTAGTCACAAGTGGCTATTTGCACTTATACTTATGTTAATTAAAATGAAATAAAATTTAAAATTAAGTTCTTCTATCACACTACAACCTTTCAAGTGCTCTATAGCCTCATTTGGCTATCACAGATATAAAACTTTCATCATCACAGAAAGTTCTACTGCACAATACTACTTGAGACAGACAATAACTCTACTGTTCCTTTATAACCCAAAGAACCAAGAGGTGAACTTCCTCAACTACAATATACTTACCTACAAAGGCTATTTGGTTGAGGTAAATGGCTACTAAACCGAACTTCTCCTGTCATCTCTTCACATGCAAATATACACTTTGGATCCTTCTTCTTAATCTTCTCATGCCTATAATACAAGTTACCTCATTGACAACCTGATTCTCACAAACATTCTAAGATTTTTTGCCATGTAGTTTTATTCAATTATGTATTTAAAAGGTAATTACACCATATAAAGAGGGATGGAAGAAGAAAAAGCATGTAACTTAAAATTTCCATTCCCATTAAGCACACCAAAGTTCTCTCCCATTTCTTACCAGGTAAATGGCTGCAGATGATGCAAAAAGGGCCTATATCCAGCAATACATTCAAACACCATGGTCCCAAAGCTCCAATAATCAACAGTAGCTGTATAAGGCTTGTTCTCAAAGAGCTCTGGGGCCTTGAAAAGGAAAAAAAAAAAAAAAAAGCTTTAAGTGTCAATACTATAAGACAAAAGCTACTTTATTTTTGACCTACTATATTCATGACCTTCAGAGGTCAGAACATGAATCCTGTACACTTAAATTCAAAGAAACAATACATGTCTCACCAGATATTGCAGTGTTCCCACAAAAGACGTACACAGACTTCCTTGATCAACATCTTTGGCATATCCCAGATCAATTATTTTATGCATAATCTGCAATATAATAAGTATTAAATGACTGAGAAATTTGAAAGGGAAAGGCAACAGTGTCCTTATAAGGCTCTGGAGAGGGTGGTGAGAAAGAGCTTGGGCTCTGCAATATGACAAACATATTTCAAGCCTGAGCTCCACCACTTATGTGATCTTGATCAAGTTACTTAACTTTTCTCACTGTATTTAGTTTCCCAAATAATGGTATTACTAACAATCCTTACTTCACCAGAATTGTTATTAGGATTCAATGAAATAATAAAAAAAAGAAGAATTTAACACAGTGCCTGATACATGGTAAAAATTAAGTATAGACTGGCTATTAATTTTTATTTTGGTATATTCAAAATAAACTTGATCCATTAACCCACAAGGCAAAGGTAAGGATGACTTCCAAACTTGAAAAAGCATCATACCACTGAATGAGTAAAGACCTATCTAACTTCCAGAATATCCTGAAATCTTTAGATACAAAGAAAGCAGAAATGGTTGGTTGCCAAGCATACACGAAAGGCTCCTAAAAGAAGAAGCGCCAGTAAGATTTCATCACCTCCAACTGACCACCATGTATCATTCACTAAAGACCACACAATCCAATTCAAGGTTCATACTCTTGGCTTTACATCTTTATTAGTATGGAACCTGGGTGCTAGCTGCAAAAAAACTATTCAAATTATTCTGATAAATACAAGTATTCCAGAAGTCAATTCACAATTTCTGGGTCTTCTCATGATGACCCATTTAAGAATCTGAAAAATCAAGGTTTTGAATTTTACTTAAATATAGAACTTAGGACTTTTGGGGGAGGAGAATGAATTTATTCTTTCTTAAGTAAGAAATGCAGTTAAGTAGACATATTTTTCCCCCTTAAAGTAAATCTAGGATGTATGTGTGGGTGCTGGATGTTCTATGTAAGGGATTAACAAATTATTTTTACTCACTATCTATTATCTCTACTAGATACTCTGTTAGAAAACAGAAGTGAGCAAGATAGGTGTTCTGTCTCTAATGAAGCCCCTGTGTTAGCAGAGGAGACAAACAACTAAACACAAAACCACAGTTCAGTGTTGTAAGCCCTGGGATAGAAAAAGTATAAAATGCTGTGGAAGGGCACAGACTTCAAACACTAATTACACCAAGGAGACTGTATTCAAATGGCATGTAATATTTCTTCAGGTTTCACCTACCTTTCCACCAACATCCTGAAGAACTATGTTTTCAGGTTTTAGATCACGATGTATGATTTTGTTTTCATGCAAATATCGGATCCCAGACCCTAAATAAAATTTAAAATGTATTTTGAGGTAACAGAAACACTGAATTAAAAATAAATTCATCTCAGGGAGCCTGGGTGGCTCACTCGGTTAAGTGTCCAACTCTTGATTACAGTCAGGTCATGATCTCACAGTCATGAGATGGAGCCCCGCCTTGGGCTCCATGTTGGGTGTGGAGCCTGCTTAAGATTCTCTTTCCCCCTCCCTCTCCGTCTGACTCTTCCCTACTCACGAGCACGCTCTCTCTCTCTCTCTCTCTCTCTCTCTCTCTCTCTCAATAAATAAATAGATAGATAGATAGATAGATAGATAGATAGATAGATAAACTCACATTTTGTACAGATCTGCTCTGACAATCAAACTTTTTGAAGTTTTTTTTTTTTCTTTTTATTTAAGTATTCTCTACATCCAACATAGGGCTCAAATTCATGACTCTGAGATCAAGAGTCATATGTTCCTCTGACTGAGCCAGCCAGGCACCCATCTGATGTTCAAATTTACACAGACCATCATAACTATATGATTAATGATATTATAGCAGTTAAGATTCTCTCTGCAGAAAATCCAAGAACATTACACAATACTGCAGAATTATATATATGTTCCTTTATGAGAATGAACATTAAAAAATGGAACAAGGAATTGAGAAAATCCTTATTGATCAATTGAGAAAATCCCTCTAGTTTTCCTTCCCACCTAAATCACCCTCTTCAACTAGACTTGGTCTCCATGACCTAGGAAAAGAGGCAAAATCAAAATATACAGGGAAACATATCCTTGGCTTCTGAGCTTATTCCATGGGCCTAAGTGCAGATAATTTTAGGGATTTTTCAGGAGTAATTCTGATTAAAAAGAAATTTCATCCTAAGAGTTGACTTGAAAACCTATGACCATGAGATGCAATGCCATTGGTAAATAAAATTACTATGTTAAGCACATAGGAAGGGAGAGTAAAATTGAATAAGGTCATTGCACACTATTTTTTTTATCTGCAATTGGAACATCTATTAGTCAAAAATGGACTCCTAGCAAAAAACAAAAAATTAAATATCCTAGTTTTAGTATCAGTAGCAACAGTTAAATTTTTCTAATTTCTTATAGATTGTAAAAATGTAGGCTTTGTGCAGTACATCAAAGATTCTCCTTAATTCTCAATATGTAGAAACTTTTATAAACCAAATTAAATTATGATGGTATTTTCAAACTGATTACATACCTATATCACTCAGTAAAGAAAGTATCTGGCTTTCTTTAAGCCCACAGCAATTTTCTGGTTTGTTGAGTAGCTGAAGAAAAAAAAAAAGAAGTCTAAAAATGTATAATGTCAATATAGCTTGTCAGTAGTAGCAATACATTAATCACTATACTTTAATAGAATATTCAAATAAGAAGTTATAATTAAGAAAATATAAGAGGGGGAAAACTACCAAAACCATACTGAGGACTTTATGTTAAGACTTACATAAATAAAGATAAAGGAGGAAAGTCTCTGAAACTGAAAAAGGCTGGACAAAACCTCACATATACAAAAGTAGCCATAGGGCATATTTAAAATGAGATGAGAAAGATTTGCAATAGAAAAAACAACTTGTTTGTTTGTTTTTGAAAACAACTTCTTTATAAACACCTTAGACATTGATATTTTGGTCTAACACCATCAATCCAGTCCCATCCTGCAAACACCACCACCTACAAAAAGACACAAATGTTCCCAGTATAGGGCCATACAGTAAATACTTTAGGCTTTACAGGCCACACAGTCTCTGTCACAACTGCTCAACTCTGATGGTATAGTAAGAAAGCAGCCATAAGTACAGGTAACAGGCCACAGTTTACTGACCTTATTCTAGATTATCATATTAAATATGATTCAAACATTGCTAAGGTTCATGATTTACTAACTCATCATCTTAAAACATCCACACTACCTTCCGGAGATCTCCGCCAGAACAGTATTCCATTGCTAGAAGAGGAACATCATTAATTAAAAAATTCAACTCCTCAGGTACATCACAGGCCTTTACAACGTTGGCATGGTTCAACCTAACAAGAAGGATAAAATGTTAAAATTAAAAAATTTTTTCCAGGGGCGCCTGGGTGGCTCAGTCGGTTGAGCGTCCGACTTCGGCTCGGGCCATGATCTCACGGTCCGTGGGTTCGAGCCCCGTGTCGGGCTCTGTACTGACAGCTCAGAGCCTGGAGCCCATTTCGGATTCTGTGTCTCCCTGTCTCTCTGCCCCTCCCCTGTTCATACTCTGTCTCTCTCTGTCTCAAAAATAAAATAAAACGTTAAAAAAAAAAAAAATTAAAAAAAAATTTTTTTTCCAATGAAAAGGGATTGGATTTGAAATGGTAGATAATTGGGGGGCAGTGAGGGGAAGAAAGGCTGGCATTATTTATAATAAATAATGCCATTACCCACTTTACATATATTAACTCATCTACTTATCAAAATAATCCTACTATAGGTAGATTTATTAATAGTCTCATCACACAGGAGAAAACTGAAGCACAAACTGGCTAGGTAATATAGGATCACACAGAAAGGAGGTGGTCAAGTAAGGATTCGAATCTGGTAGTGTGGCTCCAAAGCCTGTATCATACTGGTTCTCTCATAATCACTTACAATGTCACGCTGGGGTGGATATTAAAATTATGGCATGTTTCCTTCTAGTTTCAATCTGTACATAAACACATTTTAAAATAAATGTTAAATCTCACTATATACTGTTTTCTAACACCTTTTTTTTTTTTAACTTAACAATATATCATCCCAGGTATTATCAGCATCATCAGCATCATCATCATGCAATGGATCTCAAAACTGGAATACATTACCAGCTCCTAGGGACCTAGGGAAACAGACTCTCCATGTGTAGAGCCTGAGAATTTATATTGTTAGCAAAGTTTCCTGGTCATTCTGCCAGATAGCCAAGTTTGAGTGCCATTTCAGTGAACTGAGAAAAGACACTGGAGTCAGAAAGTACTTATTTCAAATCTAGACTTCATTAGCTACCAGTTGTATGACTCTATTAGCTTCAACCTCCTCATCTATAAAATCAGGATAATACCTAAACACACAGCGTATCTGTGACAAATGGAAGGATTATTTGTAAAGTGCTTAACACACTACTTGTGCAGGTTTTAAACATGCCCACTTCTTCCTTTAAGAGCTTAATTCTTCTCCTTCCCTTGAGTGTAGGCTGTATGTACTTGGTGACTCATTTCTAACAAACAGAATGTTGTAGAAAAGATATTACTTCTGAGGAAAGATCATAAAAGATGTCTGCTTTCACCTTGCTCTCTCTCTCAGATCACTCACTTTGGGGAAAACTAGCTGCCATGTCATGAAAATATCCAAGCTTCACTACACAGAGCCCATATGATGAGCAACTGATACCTCTAGTCAACAGCCGTATAAATTAGCTTGGAAGTGGATACTCCAGCCCCACTCAAGCCTTTGGATGACTGCAGCTCCAGTCAACATTTTGGGATTTTTCAGGAGGGATGTTCTGAGAACCACTAAGCTAAGTCACTCACAAATTCCTAAACCACAGAAACTGTGAGACACTAAATGTTTGTCTTTTTTTTTTTTTTTAATTTATTTAAGTAATCTCTACACCCAATGTGGGGCTTGAACTCATGACCCCAATATCATGAGTCACATGCTCTTCCAATGGAGCCAGTCAGGCACCCCTAAATGTCTGTCATTTTTTTTTTTACTTTTAATGTGCCTCAATTTATATTAAAAAAAAATTTTAATGCTTATGTTTGAGAGAGGGATACAGAGAGAGAGACAGAGTGCAAGCAGGGGAGTGGCAGAAAGAGACGGAGACACAGAATCTGAAGTAGGCTCCAGGCTCTGAGCTGTCAGCACAGAGCCTGATGTGGGGCTCAAACTCATGAACCACGAGATCATGACTAACTGAACCACCCAGGCACCCCAATGTTTGTCATTTTAAGCCACTAAGTTTTGGGGTAATTGTGTACAAAGCAATAGATACACTATTCAACAAAAGTAAAGAGAGTACTAATTATATTTAACTAGAAAGTATAATAGATGAACACTGCCCAATATTCAAAACAAAAAGATTCTGCTCTCAGAGAACGGAGTCTGATAATATCTAGCTGACTTTTAAAACTAAACCTACTTAATCATAATGTGATGTTATTATTTGAAATAGAACATATATATTTTATAAGAAAGAAAAAAAATATGTTCCCAAAAAGATCCTGAGAAGAATGTATTTCTACCCTCCTTCCCTATGATGACATCTGGCTAGGCTGCAGAACTAGGGAAATATAAGTCATCAAATACACTTACTTCTTCATGATCTGGATTTCATGGCACCACCGTTCTCTGTTTTTGGTACTTAGTTCTACACGACATGACTTAATTGCTATTTTGACATCAAGTTCCTGCCAAAATAGAAAATCAACATAGAAAAATATATTAATTAGGTTCTTGTGCAGATTTGCTTGTCATCAAAGACATGCCAATCTGGGGAAACAAAACTCTTTAGCTTTACTAATTAAACAGATTTATCCAAGGTGCTCTTGAGCCATGCTTTTGCTAGGTAAACACTGAGTCGATTAAACCAATGCTTTAAAACTGACCTTCACCTCAGCCTCCATAATATGAAAATCCACAGCAAACATCATACTCAATAGGAAAAAACTGAGAGCTTTTCCTCTAAGGTCAGGAACAAGACAAGGATGTCCATTCCCACCGCTTTTATTCAACACAGTCCTAGCCATAGTAATCAGACCACAAAAAGAAATAAAAGGCATCCAAATTAGCAAGGAAGAAGTAAAACTTTTACTATTTGCAGACGACATGATACTATACACAGGAAACCCTAAAGATGCCACAAAAAAAACCTACCATAACTAATAAATGAATTCAGTAAAGTCACAGGATATAAAATCAATATTCAGAAATCTGGTGCATCTCCATACACTAATAATGAAGCAGCAGAAAGAGAAATTAAGAAAACAATCACGTTTAGGGGCACCTGGGTAGCTCAGACGGTTAAGCGTCCAACTTCAGCTCAGGTCATGATCTCATGGTTCATGGGTTCGAGCCCCAAATTGGGCTCTGTGCTGACAGCTCAGAGCCTAGAGCCTGCTTCAGATTCTGTGTCTCCCTCTCTCTCTGTCCCTCCCCCACTCGTGCTCTACCTCTCTCTCAAAAATAAAAACATTAAAAAAAATTTTTTTAGAAAGAAAACAATCCTGTTTACAAATGCACCAAAAATAATAAAATACCTAGGAATAAACTTAACCAAAGAGGTGAAAGACCTGTACTCTGAAAACTATAAAACATTGATGAAAGAAATTAAAGACAACACAAAGAAATCAAAAGACATTCCATGCCCATGCACTGGAAGAACAAATATTGTTAAATTGTCTATACTACACAAAGAAATCTACAGACTTAATGCAATCCCTATCAACATACCAACAGCATTTTCATAGAACTAGAACAAATAATCTTAAAACTTGTATGGAACCACAAAAGACTTTGAATAGTCAAAGCAATCTTGAAAAATGAAAATAAAATTGGAGGTATCATGATTTCAGATTTCAAGTTATATTCATTTTTTTTTTAATTTTTTTTTTTCAACATTTATTTATTTTTGGGACACAGAGAGACAGAGCATGAACGGGGGAGGGGCAGAGAGAGAGGGAGACACAGAATCGGAAACAGGCTCCAGGCTCTGAGCCATCAGCCCAGAGCCTGACGCGGGGCTCGAACTCACGGACCGCGAGATCGTGACCTGGCTGAAGTCGGACGCTCAACCGACTGCGCCACCCAGGCGCCCCTCAAGTTATATTCAAAGCTGTAGTAACCAAAACAGAATGGTATTGGCACAAAAATAGATACATAGATACATACATAGATCAATGGAACAAGATCCCAGAAATAAACCCACGATTATATGCTCAATTAATCTACGACAAAGGAGGCAAGAATATGCATTGGGAAAAAGATAGTCTCTTCAACAAATGGTGTTAGGAAAACTGGACAGTTACAAAAGAATGAAACTGGACCACTTTCTTACACCCTAAACAAAAATAAATTCAAAATGGATTAGACATAAATGTGAGACCTGAAACCATAAAAATCCTGAAAGAGAACACAGGCAGTACTTTCTCTGACATCAGCCACAGAAATATTTTTCTTGATATGTCTCCCGAGGAAAGGGAAATCAAAGAAAAAACTATTAGGACTGTATCAAAATTAAAAGCTTCTGCACAGCAAAGGAAACAACAAAACTAAAAGGTAACCTATTGAATGGGAGAAGATATTTGTAAGTGACATATCTGATAAATGGTTAGTATCCAAAACATGTAAAAACTGATATACTTGAACACACAAAAGACAAATAATCCAATTAAAAAATAAGCAGAGGAGCCCCCCCCCCACCAAAAAATAAGCAGAAGACATGATTAGACAGTTCCCCAAAGAAGACACACAGATGGCCAATAGATATGTGAAAAGGTGCTCAACATCACTCATCATCAGGGAAATGCAAATCAAAACTACAATGAGATATCATCTCACACCTGTCAGGATGGCTAAAATAAAAAACACAAGAAACAACAAGTATTGGCAAGGAGATGAAGAAAAACCCCGTGCACTGTTGGTGGGAATGCAAACTCGTGCAACCACCGTGGAAAATAGTATAGAGGTACCTCAAAAAGTCAACAGAACTACCCTACGAAGAAGTAATTCCACTACTGGGTATTTACCCCAAAAATACAAAAACACTAATTCAAAGGGATACAGGCACCCCTATGTTTACCACAGCATTATTTACAATAGCCAAATTATGGAAGCAGCTCAAATGTCCATCAATAGGTAAATGGATAAGGAAGATGTGGTATACAATGGAATATTAGTCATAAAAAAAGGAATGAAATCTGGCCATTTTCAACAACATGGATGGAGCTAGAGAATATAATGCTAAATGAAATGTCAGTCAGAGAAAGGCACATACCATATGATTTCACTCATATATGGAATTTAAGAAACAAAACAAGCAAAGAAAAACAAACCAAGAAACATACTCTCAACTATAGAGAACAAATTCATGGTTACTAGAAGGGGAGGTGGGTGGAGGGATGGGTGGAATAGATGATGGGGATTAAAGAGTACACATCATAATAAGCACTGAATAATGTACAGAATTGTTGAATCACTATAATGTACACCTGAAACATAACACTGTATGTTAACTATACTGAAATTAAAATTAAAAACATAATAAAATTTTTTTTTTAAAAGACAGGAGAGAAAATCGTAACAGGTCAAATGCCCAAGAAGATCAGACAGACATATATATTTTTTCTCTCAGAGGAAAAAAAAGAAAAGTCCTCTTGTATTAACATATTTAGAGTTGAAGATTTTAATAAGAATTAAATGAACACTTCTTTATAGAGTGAACTCAAACCTCTTTCACTTTTTTCAGCGATTTAAGAAAAAGTCACACCTGTCACCAAGGTACTGAGGGAACTAACAATTTTTGTTTAGAAATACTCAGAAAAGTTACAAGTTATGAAAAGTGAGACTCTGAGGCCTTAAGTTGGCTTGAAAAGAAAAAAATCAATCAAATTTCAAACACATCAAAGCACACAAGCGAAGTGACTGAGGCTGATCCCATTACAGGTCTCTCTCTTTAGAACACTGTCTCCTATACACAGCTAGAAAATTACAAAGACTTGTCTCCCCAACAAACTCCTTTTTGGGCTTAGTCAAAATAGCTAACAAGGGCCCCAGCCTTCAGCATAACTGGAATGAAAAGGATAATTCAGGGCTACCTGGCCTTACCAGCAAGAAATAGTTTTAATATGACCAAACCTAACAACAACAACAACAACTCCAAAATTTGTTCCTAATCTTTACATTTCAAATGATATTTAAAAAATACTAACAATGGTTATACTTCTGTTTCTATAACTATAAAATGAACCTAATAGCTCTTGCCTTGGCCTAGTCATTTAGCCAATTCTGACTGAAATTAAGTCCAACCTGATGCACATTACAGGGAACAGCCAGACTTCATCACATTCTGGCAACAGTAAAAATGCAGCCCAGGAATAGCGGTCAGGACCAAACAGGAGGAAAAAAATATAGTATATGGATGAGGAAGCAAGATATAGGTTGTATGGAATATTCTAAATGGGAGCAGAGGGATGGTGAGGGGAACAAGCTAGAGATAAAACAGTCCATGTACAGAGAAAGAAGAAAGGAATTAGGACACACTACAATCTAGCCTAACTACAGTCCTCACTCCCTTCAATCTTTCTTTTGTTTTGAGCAGGCACCTGGCTCTAGCTGGGTCCCATGTAAGCTTTTACCACCATGGCGACAATGCGGTACAACCATGAACAACATTAAGCCCTTAAAAATGGGAATATTCCAGAGACAGATAGTGGCGACTGTTGCATAACAATGCGAATGTACGTAATGCCGCAGAACTGTACATTTAAAAATGGCAAAAATGGTAAACGTTATTTCTATTTTACCACAATAAAAAATTGGAAAATACAAAGTTAAATTCGTTTGTAAAATATTTCTCAGAGCTTTTAAGATGCTAATGTGGATTATGATTCTCCAAATGAAACAATAGTACATGCAGCATTTACCCAATGTATTTGACCACAGTATCCTTTCTTTCTTTTTTTTTAAATTTTTTTTTAACGTTTATTTATTTTTGAGACAGAGAGAGACAGAGCATGAACGGGAGAGGGTCAGAGAGAGGGAGACACAGAATCCGAAACAGGCTCCAGGCTCTCAGCTGTCAGCACAGAGCCCGACGCGGGGCTCGAACTCACGGACCGTGAGATCATGACCTGAGCCGAAGTCGGCCGCCTAACCGACTGAGCCACCCAGGCGCCCCCACAGTATCCTTTTTTCAAAGCATTTCACAGGATTAGTTATTCCAAATACACTTTGAGAAGTGCTACTCTGTTCCCTAGGAAGAATTCTTTGGTTATTTTTGTCATGTTTCCATATACCTTTATAAATAACTTTGTTATATAGGTTACCACCTTGTACTTGAGTGTTTCTGTATTTGCCTCTCTCACTACACTTGAAATCTGCTTAAGGGCAGCAAATACTACTTTTGTTGACCTGGGTACCATCAGCACCCAGCATAATAATCAGATAAATAAACCATCTCATATCCTTTTCTCTTCCTCATTGTGATTTAAGTGATGTAGATAAAATACTGAGATGTGGCTTCTACTAAAACCCAAGGATCTTGAAATTTGTTATGGGCCAATTCTAAGTCTGGCTTGGAAAAGTAATGATGCTGTTAGCACAGAGTATTTCTTCTCTTTTCACTATAGGCCCAGGCATCAAATGTCCCAGTTTGGGAGAAGGGCCAGTCTAGACACGTGGAAAGTTCCTGAGAGATTTCTAAGATTCTAGAAGAACCCAAATCTCTTCCATTTAGAAAGTAATGAATTCTAGGGCACCTGGGTGGCTCAGTTGGTTAAGCGTCCGACTCTTGGTTTCAGCTCAGGTCATGATCTCATGGTTCGTGAGTTCAAGCCCCATGTCGGGCTCTGTGCTGGGAGCACAGAGACTGCTTGGGATCCTCTCTATCTCCCTTTCTCTCTGCCCCTCCCCTGCTTGCTCTTGTGCTCGCGCCCTCTCTCTCTCAAAATAAATAAATAAACTTAAAAAAAAGTAATGAATTCCATAGAGACAGAAAGTAGAAAGGTGATTGCTAGGTGGCAGGGGAAGGAGGAAATGGGGAGGTATTGTTTAATGGGTACAGAGTTTCAGTTTGGTAAGATGAAAAAGTTCTGGAAATGGACGGTGGCGATGGCTGCACACCAACATGAATGTACTTAATGCCACTGAACTGTACACTGAAAATAGCTAAAAACGGTAAATTTTACATTATATACTTTACCACAACTTTGTTAAAAAAGTGATGTGTTGATCTATCCCCAGTCAAGGACCAAGAAAAGCAGTCACAAAAGCATGCTAATAAGCATATATTTTTTTCTTTTCTTATGACCAGGCTTAGATAACAAGGCCACAGGCAACATTCCACTGGAAGTACTTGGCTCCCCCTTCTCTCTTGGAGTGCCTTATGTCTTCTCTGATGGTGAAAATTATTAAATTTACTGCTTATCTTGCTGTCAAAGTGCTTAATGCCTTAGTCCTTCACCTCCCATTCTCCCTCTCTCCAAGATTGCCTCCTATGCTCAATCTAGAAAGCTGCTTCACAAAACTTCCTCAGTTCTATCAGTGACATTTGCCACTGTGCCCCACAAGCATGTCTATTCCTCCCAGATACTCCCATCTCCCCCCCTACTCCTTAAGACAGCAAATCTTGAATTCAAGTCTGTATTCACAGGCCGATTGCAAACATTTTAATAATATTTTCATTGCTCATCCTGTCCCATGTTTTTCACTCAGATTTACCTTTTACAAACAAACACTTCCAGGAACACCACTTTTATCTGGACATTTCCTTTTTTAAGGTCCATTAATAATGGTTACGATGATGATAATAGTAACAACACAGCAGCAGCAGGAGCTAACATTTGAGGGCTTATCTTAGGCCAGGTTCTGTACTTAGTTTTACAAACATTATCTTATTTAACTCTCAAACAGACCCATGATGTATATAATTATTATAACCATTTTACAGATGACAAAACAAAGGCTATCCGGCAAGGATTATTAGTCAGGGTCTATATCTCTAAAAGATTTATACGTTATTCAGAAGAGCATGACCCTCCTCAAAGGGCAATGCGTTAGGTGGTGGGGATGTGCAATTGCTCATTTTTCTGGGGAAAGGGTTCATAGCTTTTATAGGTATGTCGAAAGATGCATAGCTCAAACATGATTATTAACTGCTGCTACAATGGTTAAACATTTACAACTAAATCAAAGCAAAATTCTTGAGTCTGATGTTAGCTGTCTTCCACCCACTAGAGCACCTCACACCCAATCTACTTCCTTCCCTTAGGAAGCCATGATCATTTCACCAGCTGATCCTCACACTGTTCCCTACCCAGAAGGCATCCCCAAATCTGAAGCCTACCCGATGCTTTCAAAAGCTTAACTGGGGACCCACCATGAAACCTCCCTTGTCTACTCCAAACCCCTACAGATATCAAGTAGCCTCCAAGCACACGCATGAACACACACATTCCAACAGACAGCCCCCTTCCTCACCCATTCGTGCTCACAATACAAAGCCTTATGTGCATCTGCCTCGCACACCCCGACACTCTACATTCAGAGACACACATACGCACCGTCACACCCGGTAAACAATTTCTCACATCTTGACATCCATACCAAAAGTTCCCCCTCAGAGCTCTATCTCACACACACTGACCCGGGACCTCAGATACAACCTCGGACTCAGTCACCAGACTCGCAAACACAGTATCACACACTCACTCACACAGGCTCACCGGACCACAGTGCTGTCCAAAGGCTCACCGACAATCCCTCATGTACTGAGTGTCACTGTGTTCCAAAGACGCTCTGACAAACACCCACCGCCGCTCCCTCTCGCGCCCCACCTCACCCGATGCTGGTACAGGCAGACATTCCCGAAGCCGCCGGTGCCCAGCCGCTCGCGCATCTCCCAGGGCCCGCCCGCACCCGGCCGCAGCCCTGGGGGCCGCTCCATGGGGCGGGAGGGCAAGCGACCTCAGGTTCCGCCGCTGTTCCGAGGCCGGTTCCGGGCCGCCGAGGCTCGCGCGTCTCTCTTCTCGCGAGAAGTATGCGTCACTTCCGGTAACGGCCACAGGAAAAGCTCTACCCCGGCTTCTCCCGGAGGCGGGCCAGCTAGCGACCAGAGAGGCAGTGTGGGAGGTCGGCTTCAGTCCGTTAAGCCCTCTGGGCATTTTCCTGGCTGAGAGAACCCACTTGTTATACGAGTCTTCAAAACCATAAGCTGTCCAATCCTTTCAAGTCATTTTCTAAATTTCACATCGTCTCCACCCCGTGTACATTTTACCTTTCTTCAAACCTCTGCCATCTATCCTCCAACCACCACCCGCTGAACTGGCGTTGGCAAAAACCACCAATGATTCAAATGTTGCGGAATCCGAAAAACTAGAAAGAATCCTGCACTAGTAGGCCCACTGATGCATTAAGTTTTATAGTCCTTTTATTTTGTAATGACTGATCATCTGCCATAGACCAGTCAGGCTCAGCCCTTTGTACACCTGTTCCAGGAAATCACTAAAGACAAGGATGTGAGGCTGTTGTGGAGTAAAGAATGTAACTCCTGATTTCGGGAGCTTTCCCCTAAATTCCTCACAGCACTTGCAGTCAAGCAGTCTTCCATTTATGGGTTTGCCAGCGCGGTAGCTGCTCATTGCGGGATTGTTTTTGATGTGTGATGCAGGGCTTCAGAGGCAAGCTTCAGGAATGCTGCTGGTGCAACAAGAAGTGCTTCCCAGTGGTGGATAGCTGTAGCATAGAAGAACCAGCTTTCCATCTTCACTGAGTTGGTCATATGCCTCAGCCTCACAGAACTTGGGGATCTAGTCGGTCACTCCAAGTATAACAATCAGGGTGGAGTCCAGTTCTCTGAAGAGAACTGTTATCAGTTGCGTTAGGTGGTCATTTGAACCCCTTTGAGATCATGTGCGCTTGGACCATGGTTTGCACAGCCCCACGTGTGGTGATCTCAGTACTTAAACTCCAATTAACATTTTGTGACCCACAATTGTGTCACAGCAGATGTCAGTCATATCCTGAGATGCATAAAGGTGGATACAGCATGTACACCACACCAATGTTGCTGGCTGCTCTGAAAGCATTGAATTGGCTTCTGGCAGAGTACATGTGTCTACTGATTCAGAATCCCTGAATAGTGCAACCCGAATGTCAAGCACTGCATGGCACAAACCATGTCATGCTGTTTATGTGTGGTGGCAGATTCTGGGGGCCCACATGTACTTAGTTGCCATGGAGCTGGAGTATCAGATGTGGAAGTGATGGCAAATGGTACCTCCCAAACATGGAGTTGGGCAGACTGCACAGATAATTGTAGTACCAATTGCCCCTAACAGTGTAAAGCCCTTTGTCTGCTAGGTGTACTGCAAGCTGGCATGGGAGTGTGTCTGATCTCCACTGGTGGGGCCGAATTCTTGGAACACTCGCTTGGAAAAGCTAGGGAGGGATGCTGAGGACCTGAGGATACTGATGAGCGGCTGACCCTAAAGTAGCCATATTTGCAGGAACCAGGTTGTTTCTCATAGTTCACTCTTTGAACATCCCCATTCTCAGGGATGCTGCATAGCTTGTTTTTAAATCCTGGGATGGTTAGCATCAGGCTTCATGATCTTCCAACTCTCAGAGTCTGTTTTTTCATGTGTAAAATGGAGGTAACAATACTTACCTCAGAGACGTTTTCTGAGGATTAACACTGTCTGGGCCATAAATGTCCCAATATAAAGGAACAATTATCTTTCTTTTGGCTTCCAAGATAAAGCATTCCCCTGTGATCTTTCCCTCTCTCTTCTCCATGTACTTGTGGATCACTCTATTTCCAAGGACCCCTTAAACATGGATATGTTTTAGGAGTCGTCTTCATCTTAGGACTGTATTCACCCTTATTTTCATCATTGTCATCATTTCAGTTATGGCCTATACCCTGATGATCCCCAAGCACTATCACCAACCCAGGTCTCCATGCATTTAGATCTGCCTGACAACATACTACGACTCAACACATCCAAAGAAGCAGAACTTCTTTTCTTAAAATCTGTCCCTTCTCTTCCCAATTAGACTGTAAACTCTGGGATAACAGGGACCATGTTGGGACATGACCATACTCCTGGAGCCTAGAAAAATGCCTGGCACATAGGAGTTCAGTATTTGCTAAAGGGCTGAAAGAGCTCTTTTATGTCAATAAGATGAATGTTTTAAGACAAAAATGGCAAAGGCTTTGGGTCCTTCTTCACCCTTGACTGTTCAGGGAGAAGCCACCTGTTAGATCCCGGGATAACAGCTGGCCTAAAGCCCCAGACCATATTACACACACACACACACACACCTTCATCTCAGTGGTATAGGTAATATGAACATAAGATGATTCCCATCGTGGAAAAGCATTTGGATTTTATTTGATAGTTTAAATGGTTTTGAAAATGCTGATTAACACAAGCTGTACTTGGAGCAGGAAGACAGACATGCTTATTTTAACACAGGATTTTCATCCTAGAAATATTTTCAAAAAAATATTCAATCTTAGGCCTCTTGCTGCAGGTAGGTTCCATGGGAATGCACAAAAAAGAGGCAGAGAAACAGTCCCCATGGGAGACTGTAAGTTCTTTTAAAAACAGGCTACTACTACTTCCTGTCAAGTTCATAAAGTGCCTTTTCCCTTTGCTTAGTCATCCAGAGTAAAGTCAAAAGGCTCAAAGTCTTTCCGGAAGCGGCGAGCCAGCATCTCCTCCTCTTCTTTGCTGACCTGACATTGCCTCCAGTCAGACTTGTCAGGAATATTAAGGATGGCTTCGCTGGCCAGTACCTCCCTGCAGAAATAAGTAAAAATGGACAGTATTAGCCAGAAGCCCTCCTCTCTCTATTTCTCTCCAGCTAGAGAGCTCTCCTCAGCATTACCCAAAGAAGGTATGCAAATTCTTCTTTGTTCAGACCATTTTCTCTTGCCCTGAGCGCCATCCCTGCTATTCTATCAAAATAATACTCATTTTAAGTGACCAGCTCAGGTCCTACCTCCTTCCTAAACCTTCAAATCCTATTTCTCTCTCTCTCTTCAACAATTTGGAACTACATTATTCGTACTTAGAGTAGCAATACTAACACAGTACAAAGAAGACAGGCCCTGGTGTCAGAAACATCAGAGGCTTACTTCCATTCCTAGCTCAACCACTTGCTGTCTCTGACTTGAATGGATTACTTCATTGCTGAGTCTTGATTTCCTCACCTATGAAATGCACAATAGAGTTTTGTGAGGTATGGAGATAACACAATCCAGGCACCAAACAAGTTATGAATATATCTTGTCTTAAACTCTAGTTTTGTCATCCCAATTAGAACATGAGTTTGCTGAGGGCATGGTGCAGATCAGGCCTAGTATCCTATCTCACTGACTTTCTGCCTCTCCTAGAGGACTCAGGCATACATAGGCACAACAGCACAGGCTCAATGTCAACAACAACTTATCTTGGCTCTCAAGGCTAAGGAATAACTACATACTAACACCTACACTCACATACAGGCTACCTTCTAATTGTCACTGCTCTACATTTTTATTTATTTTTACTCATTTTGATATATTAGAAATAACTCTATTTGGGGCACCTGGCTAGACTAGTTCAGTCAGTAGAGTGTATGATACTTGGTCTCAGGGTTGTGAGTTTGAGCTCCACACTGGATGTAGAGATTACTTAAAATAATAAAATCTGGGGCGCCTGGGTGGCGCAGTCGGTTTAGCGTCCGACTTCAGCCAGGTCACAATCTTGCGGTCCGTGAGTTCGAGCCCCGCATCAGGCTCTGGGCTGATGGCTCAGAGCCTGGAGCCTGTTTCCGATTCTGTGTCTCCCTCTCTCTCTGCCCCTCCCCCGTTCATGCTCTGTCTCTCTCTGTCCCAAAAATAAATAAACGTTGAAAAAAAAAATTAAAAAAAAAAAAAATAATAAAATCTGTTTTTTAAAAACGTAATTCAGTAGATATGATTTTTTAAATTGTTTATTTATTTTTGAGAGGGAGAGAGAGTGTGAGTGGGGGAGGCAGAGAGAGAGGGAGACAGGACCTGAAGCGGCCTCTGTGCCGATAGCAGAGAGCCTGACAGAGGGCTCGAACTCATGAACCATGAGATCATGACCTGCGCTGAAATCAAGAATCGGATGCTTAATCAACTGAGTCACCCAGGTGCCCCCCCGCCCAACAAATAAAATCTTTAGGGGCATCTGAGTGGCTTAGTCAAGTGTCCACCTTTGGCTCAGGAGAGCCAAAATAAATCACGAGTTTTCTAAAAGTTACAGGATCTGTGCTCAAGTTCTAGGTCCCTAGGCAAGCTTGAGCCTACTTTTCACCTATAAAATGAAGACAGAACCACCTCTCTTATACAGCGGGGAGAAAAATGTCTTTTCAAGTACTTTGTTAACTATAAAATGCTATATAACTGTATACTGGTATTTTGAAAAATAGTCAATGTTGAAAATACAACAAACTAACATGAGCACAAAATCATTCAGAGAATCTCTCTTGCGGGCTTACATGCCAGTGTGTATCTGCAATTATGTGCCTATGGCGTCAGTGTCCACATCTGCATCTGTTGCTAAGGCAACAACAAAAGATAATGTCAGATGTTTGAAGTCCCTAATCATACCTACTCTCACTTATCAGCATCTTTTTGAAAATGTAGATAACTGTATTTCCTGGACTTACCCAATGGTAGCAGTCTCTTGGAGGCTTCCCAAGTTAGTCCAAGAAGGGTTCAAAGTTGACTCAAAGCTCAATTCTTTTTTTTTTTTTTTAAGAGAGAGAGAGTGGTGGAGGAGCAGAGGGAGAGAGCCTCAAGCAGGTTCCGCACCCAGCAAAGAACCCTACATAGGGCTCGATCTCATGACCATGAGATCATGTCTTGGGCCCAAATCAACAGTCAGACATTTAACCAACTGAGCCACGCAGGCACCCTAAAGCTCAGTTTGAACTAGAGAAGGAAACAACTACACATCAGACAATAGCATCACATAACCTGTTCTGCACATCTTTTTGCTTCTCCATACTCTATCTTCACATTTTTTGCTCTCCATACTCTATTCTTTGTAGCCAGCAACTTCCTGTCTTCTGTCAGCCTAGTTGATGCCACTCCCTACATGGCTTCACAGTCATGTTCTGTCTGATATGAGGAACATAAATGAAGCCTCATCTAGGCCTTAGGACACTACAGAATAAGGAGGTTAAAATCTCATGTTTAGGAGATCAACGTACCTGGGTTCGAACCTACCATATGTGCTCAGGGGCAAGCTACCTAATCCCTCTAGAGCCATATTGTCCACTTACAGGAATCACTAGCCAGATATAGCAATTTAAATTTTAATCCTAATTAAAATCAAGTTAAAAATTTAGTTCCTCAGTAGCCACATGTGGCTAGTGATTACTGTATAGGACAGTACAGATATAAAGCATTTCCATCATGGCAAGTTCTACGGATACAGCTCTAGAGCCTCATTTTCCATTTTGGTAAAGTGGGATGACAGTACCTATCTTACAGAATTGGGAAGATTAAATGAGGAAATGCGTGTAAAGCTCTTGGCACAGTACATATGCTCAATTAATCGTAGCACTTCAGTCCTTTGGGCTAGAAGGCCCACACCCCGACATTTGCCCTCTAAATCTCTCAGGCTCAGTGTCAACCTTTTCTTAAAGCCTTTCACAAAATAGAAATAACTCTCCCTTTTCTGAATTTCTAAAGTTCACTGTTCCTCAGAACTTTGTTACGGTACTTTTCACATTCTGCACTACATTACTGCCACGTAAGCAAATATGTGACTTGCCCTAAGTCAAGGTTCCTTGGGGCAAGGATTGTTTCCTATTTGGCTTTTTATTCAACTGTCTATGCAGCCCACTAATCTGTTCATAATAGATCTCGGGAAAATACATTTAAAATAAGGAAAAGTATACAAACCTTCCAAACTGCAAAGGAAAATTCTTTTTAATTCTATGGAAAAGCTTCTCTCCTGTGTCAAGTTCAACATAAAAATATGCTGCTCCTGGCTGTGCAATCTAGAGTGAACAGAGTTGTATGAGCACATATCATAGTACTTTAAAAATGTGAAACCTAGCTCATCTCTTTTAAGCTTTAATTTGGCAACAAATTCAGTACAGAAGTCCAAGAAAAAGGATGTGAACAGTACAGACCCCAAGGTACTTAGTGGAACAGAGTTTTGCAAAGATATTACAAAGATCCTCCCAGTGGAACTTCGAAGTTCCTGCCTTAGGAAAGATCTAATTTTTTGCTCTTCCCAGGAATGACTAAGGCATTGCTTTAATGCCATCCTCATCACCAGTCTAATCAGCATCCCATGCCCTAGGTCCAAACTGTCTACCTGCCTATTGAACATTTTTGGAATGCCTTGATAGTACCTCAGGCTCGACATATCAGAAACCACATTTTTACTACTCCCGGAACGTCCTTCCCCTCCTGTTTTACCTGCTTGATGTCAGAGTGTTCTGGGATTTCCAACAGTTCTATCTGTTGTTGCTCTGCCTGGGTAACGAAAGCATCTTTAATGTCATCAGTAGTGCAGCGGCTGAGTGGCACAGGAATGACCTGAGGTGGGGGGGTGAGGCGGGTAGATAGGAGAAACTCTTTGTACAGGTCCCAGAGAAGAAGTGCCTCCTGCACAGTCCCCGAGAGTAGCAAATCCATCACAGGGGTGGACAAACACCCCTCAGCAGAGATTTTCCTCAAGCCAGCCAGGCTTGTGTCAGCCTGTCTGTAAGGACTTAAACTTATGAGATAGCTTGCCACATGTGGGAGCCAATCCCTGATGCAGGAAAGGCTAGAGAGAGATCTCTCTGTCATCAAGCCCTTGCCAGCTCCTATATAATATATGTGGCAGCGTCAGGCCCATTTGAAAATTTAACAAATGTGCCAGAAAGAAAACCACCACAACCACAAACGAATTATCCATAAACAGTCTCCAAATTTCTGAGCTGATAGCCCCATCAAAGCTCTGGGACTATTTCTCACCTTTAAGACTTCACTTATGCTGGGCCTCACACAAATACCTACTCTGTTCCAACTGTACCTAACAAGGCCCAAATGTTTCCTGAAGTCTTCCTCAACTATCCCTTCCTTTTCTAAACAAAGCACTTACTAACTGTGTTGGCCCACTCATACGGACCATGCACTTCCCTGTGGAATCTCTGGATTTATTACCAGAGACTCTTTAACCTTTTAAATGAACACTATTCAAATATTAATATGAAAATTTGTAGTAGGTATTTTCAATATTAAACATTTAAATATTAAAATTTTAAGTATTTCGTTTCAGATTGGAATCCTGTATTTAAATATTCAATAATAAATAATAGATGTCATTTAAATATTTGTCAACATCCATGTCCTCATAGGGTCCTTCCAAGTCCCTGGGTGGAGACCACCTACCTGTAGCTGGAGGTGATGGCTCTTATAATTTCTCTCAAACAGAACACACCGTTTCCCTCGACTCTTAAAGAACCGCCTCAGTGTCACCTTGTACTTCTCCACCTCTTCCACCACCTCAGCTGAAAGCTCCACCACTGACTGGTAGTGCCCAATGGGTAGGATGAGGACGTGGTCATCAGATAAGCCTCCTTTGGCCAGGGCAAGGTAGCACTAAAGAGAAAGCACACAGAATCAAGTTACCAATGCCACAGGTACGATTCTTCAGGGAGAAAAGCCTATACAAAGAGTGAGCATGAGGGTGTAGAAAAAGTGTTGAGAGGCTATTAACAGAAACTCTCTGACAATAAAAACCTGCTTTTAGAAGTTATAACAAGAACCTGGTGACGAAGAAGATTAGATGTAACAAATCTCTATCCAGCTATCAAATGAACTGGGAGCAAATGAATGGCACACAAATGGGCTTTTGGCTTCAAAAACCCCAAAACTTAAGGAGACCAGAACAACAAATAGTCAGCTTCCCAGGCTCCAAACTGGAAAACAATTTTTCAGTTATTATGGCCTTCAACCACAGAAAGACACCACTTCATTTCAAAATGACCACTTTCCCTATGCTAACATCGAATCCCACACCCCACTCCTAAATACACCCTCTGGGCTCACAAAAAAAGCTAAGATGTCATGATTAGCATCCAGTGTCCCTACAGCCTTAAGCTGCTGCCTAACCTCTATAAAATTAAAGCAAACATATAACCTAATGGGGTGGAAGGAAGAAGCAGAAACCTCAAACTCGGACATATCCAAAGAGGTAGAAAACCATGGTTCCCAACAGTGGATGTCAGCAGCTAAACAGCAACTAAAACTATCTCTGTCAAAACCAAACATGCAAGACTTCTCCACACTTAGACACTCTCTGAAAGGAAAACATTATGAGTAGAGAAATAGCCAGTGAATATCAATGCAGGTGAATGTACTAGAGCTTTAGAAAAAGCAATCTGACATTTCCTTTTAGTGCTGTGAGTTCAAAGTTAAGACTGAAGGAAGGAGTAACTTATTATTAACACTGAGAAAATCTAATAGAAGGGCAGAAGAGGTATCAGAAACAAACTAAAGCATGATCATCCTTGATTTACTTGGCATAGAGGACCAAGCACATCTACAAACTTAATCTTCCAGATGACTAAGATTCATTGAAACTTCATTAAGTGCTCATTTTCTTCATTTTTACAACTATTTTTGATTGTATGCTTTAAAAGGTTACTCTTGAAGCCTGAGTCTTCAAGCCTTTTCTTTATGTCAAAGGGTCACTACCATAAACATCAGTTTTCATATTGTAACAACCAGGTTTCTAGTCCAGACTAAAAAGCACCCCTCGCCCCAATGCGGTACCTCCCAGTTCTTGTGAACAATTTCATATTTGCCCAATCTCCTCCTCCTCTCAATTTCTCTCCTTTTGTTCTGTACTTGCATTATCTCTAAAAATGTGTAAATAAGACCTGAATAAATGTTTCTCCCATAAGTAAAATACATCAATTATTTTGGACTCTTAGCAGTGCTTCCCTCATTTTACTAGTTTGTGGTCATGGGCCATTAGCACAGTTCCATGTATATCCCTTGAGGAAGGCATAGCAAAGACAGAGAAAGCCAAGACAAAAATGTAGTGAGAGGAGATCAAGAGGAATGGTTGCAGGGAGGAGATTCTAAATCCTGTGCCAGATACCCAAAGGTCCCAGAGGTTCCCAAGAAGTTTCTACTAGACAAAGAGCAATGTAAGAGCAATGAAGTGCAGACTTGAATACTGGGCAGGCTCTAGGCTAAAATTTTCATATGGCCTCCTACTTGGGGTGCTGGGCTGGGCCACAAATAAGACCTGAGATATTTTTTGCCTCTCCAGCTTCAGGCCTAGATGAAAAGGAAAAAGGTTTCCTTGATCATCCCCTATGCACATACCCTAGGCTAGATAACCCTGGGCAATTAAAAGGTGAATGGAAAGGAAAGATCAATTTTCCCTGAGGCCTACAGCAGCCCTGAACTAAGTCACCTATTCCAAATCTCTCTTCCCCTGTGTGCCATTTTGAACTATTGAAGCTTCCCAAACAGAAGGCAGTCCACAGCCTGCCTACCTTACAAGTTGTATGGGCGAGTAGAATGGCATGAACTAATCCAAAGAGGAAAACAAGGGCCAAGAGAGATAATCCATAAAGGGCGTTCCTGTAAAACCAAAAACTTTTCAAGTTTGCTTTTCTTCCCACTGAAGAGTTCATCCACAGACTCCATGACTCAATTAGGTCACAGGCCTTGACCCCATTAGGGCTCCCCCTAGAGATAGGGGAGTGTGCCGATAATCGAGACAAAAATTTAAACGTAGAAGACTGGGACTCTTCAGTCTGAAACTATAAAGGCAGACAGAGATGTGACTAAAGAAGTAAAGAATAATGAAATCGAGACTCTGGTCAGTCTGTAGGAGGCCACGATAAAGGGCCCTGAAATAGGATAACTTGAGGAAATGGTCACCCTCAGAAACCAAAATTAGAATAAATCAATGAAAAAGAGATGAAAGTCTCTATTTTGCAGAAGCACTACACACTAAGAAATGGTCTGTAAATATTGCCATCAAAGGCCACAAGAAACAGCCAATTCCTGTTTCAGGTGACTAGGGTGTAACTGTAAACCTAAGAGCTAAGCTTTCTTCATTCTAAGTGAATGAAGAACGATAAGGGTCTACACAGATCCCAGGAAAATGGGTCAAAGACAAGTATTATTCAACATCTAAACAAGTCCTGCCCGAGAAAAAGTATCTGGGGAAGTCTCAAATAGGACCACTTTACAGTAAGACACACATAATTCATCAGAGTTTCCATAGCCTGAATAAAATCATCCTCAAGATTATCCAGTTATTTGATTCAGTGCTTACCAAGCAACCCTGTAATTATTATCTTGGGTTCCCAGTTACCCACACTAAGAATGTGGATATGGGTATTCTTCTCTTAGGAAGCTATATCCTCTATTACAAGGCAAAACTGAGAATTTATCACTAGTCTTTTATGTAATTATTTAGTATGAATCAGTAAGAAAGTCAAGAAGTATATGAAACCATCGCCCTAGGAGATACACCTATTTGTCAGAGAGGGAGGTAGGGAGGGGGCAATCTTGTGAAACGCACTACAAAACCACAGGAGAATTACTATAATCAAAAACACATACAATAACGAATATTGGAAATGTGGAAAAACAGGAACCCTCATACATACATACACATACACCGCTGGTGGGGATATAAGATGTTACAGCCATTTAGAAAAATAGTTCAGCAGTTTCATAAAAAATTAAACATAAATTTACCAGCAATTCCATTCCTAGTTATCTATCCAAAAGAAATGAAAATATACGTCCAAAGATACGCATGCGAATGTTTATAGCAGCATTATTCCTAATAGCTATAAAGTGGAAACAACCCCAAGCCCATCAACTGATAAATATATAGAATGGAACACTATTTGACAATAAAAAGGAATGAAGTACTGATACATGCTACAACATGGATAAGCCTCAAGAATATCTGCTGAACATAAAGAGCCAGACACAAAGACCACATATTGTATGATTCCATTTATATGAAGTGTCCAGAAAAGGCAAACCTGTGGAGACAGAAAGTAGATTAGTGGTTGCCTGGGGCTGAGGATGGGAATGGGGATTAACTGTAAACGGGCATGAGTGAAGGACATATTCTAAAACTGTGTTATATGACGGTTGCACAACTTGGTAAGCTTACTAAAAATTGGTGAATTATTAAAGTGGGTAAATTTTATGATATATAAATTTTAACTTTATTAAGTTAATAAAAAACAAACAAATAAGGATGTCCTTCTCTGTAAAAGGTCCGAGGAAGTAACTCACATGTGTGCCAATGTTGACCACCAAGTGCTTTTCCACTTCAGGGCTGGCAAGGCAAAACCAGCAAGGTCCTGGAGGCTGAGCTTCATATGGAAGAAAGCACATGTTACTATGGTGCAAGCACTCCAACATTTAATCACCCTGTAGAACTCAGCCTTGTCTGATCTTTATACCTTGCAAAGATTCATATACAGCACTGCTGTAAAGAGCTGGTCCTGCTGTGCTTCTACTGTGACCCCCGCGATCCCAGCACTTTTATCAATGAAACTAACCTGTATTAGAAAAGCTCTGAATTTGCAATCAATTCACAGGTGGATAACCACAAGTGGATGACCACATACTGACCAAAGTAGCATTTAACTGGCAACAGGCTGCAATGACAGACCACTGAACTGGATGTCAGGAGTCCCAATTCTAGCCCCAACTATGCCACTGGCTCGCCACATGACTCTGGGTAATAAGTTTACTCCAACAAGGTCAGCTTCTTCAACTTTGAAACAAGGGGTGGAGAAAGAGGGTATCAATGAAATAACCTTAAATTCCTTTTTTGCCAGTTTGATTATTCTATTATTTTATGAACCTCGTGGGTTTTGTAGGCTCTTTACCTCAGATGTTTTATAGACATCCAGGGAAGGGAAGGAACTTTCCCCATAGTTCTTTCAAGAACAGCTCAGACATTCTCAAAATCAGGCCATCTTAGTAGTATTTTATTTTTGGTCTTAATGACCCATTGTACAGTTTTCCTCTGCCAGAAGAAGCTCTCTTAGCAATGCCACGTCCCACACAAGATCTGAAATAAGTCACTGCTCACACAGGAGACTTCAGGAACCAAGATACTTACGAGGTTTGCGAGGTTGCTTTGGGTGAGGAGAAGACTTGCTATCTCTGCCTGTAGATGAACGCTTCCTTCCCTGCTTTTCATTTAAATCAAAGAAAAACTGACAGGCTGATTCTTCCTGAAATGGCCAAAGGCAGAAGAGTAAATGTTATTAAACTACTCTTTAGACAAGGAGTCAACCATTCACATACAAGGGAACATTCTTGCCATGTCATATCTATCTTGCCTCGTGGCCCTTTCTACCCACCCTAGACAAGAAAAATATCTTCCTAATCCTGATGCCTGGACTCTCAGTCATACTTCTCAACACATACCCAAAATAGCACCAAATCCATCTTTTTGTAAAAGCAAGTTAAAATGCAAGTTATAGAGCAATTCTTGCCTAAAACAGAGCATTACAAAGCCCTCCAAATGCCTTTTCCTCTCTCTTAGTAGCACGTTGGTGTAGCCCTACAATCTCACAGGTCAATCAAGTCAAACTGAGCTTTAATTAAAATGATGAGGAGGCTGTCAAAGAGGTGAAAAATCTACACACTGAAAACTATAGAAAGCTTATGAAAGAAGTTGAAGACACAAAAAAAATGGAAAAAGATTCCATGCTCCTGGATAGGAAGAACAAATATTGTTCAAAGGTCAATACTACCCAAAGCAATCTACATATTCAAAGCAATCCCTATCAAAATAACACCAGCATTCTTCACAGAGCTAGAACAAACAACCCTAAAATTTGTATGGAACCAGAAAAGATCCCGAATAGCCAAAGCAATCTTGAAAAAGAAAACCAAACCAGGAGGCATCGCAATCCCGGACTTCAAGCTGTATTACAAAGCTGTAATCATCAAGACAGTATGATACTGGCAAAACAACAGATACTCAGATCAACGGAACAGAACAGAGAATCCAGAAATGGACCCACAAACGTACAGCCAACTAATTTTGACAAAGCAGGAAAGAATATCCAATGGAATAAAGACTGTCTCTTCAGCAAGTGGTGCTGGGAAAACTGGACAGCAACATGCAGAAAAATGAACCTCGACCCCTTTCTTACACTATACACAAAAATAAACTCAAAGTGGATGAAAGACCTAAATGTAAGACAGGAAGCCATCAAAATCCTCGAGGAGAAAGCAGGCAAAAACCTCTTTGACCTTGGCCGCAGCAACTTCTTACTCAACACGTCTCTGGAGGCAAGGGAAACAAAAGCAGATATGAGCTATTGGGACCTCATCAAAATAAAAAGCTTCTGCACAGCAAAGGAAACAATCAGCAAAACTAAAAGGCAACCAACGGAATGGGAGAAGATATTTGCAAACAACATATCAGATAAAGAGTCAGTATCCAAAATCTATAAAACTTATCAAACTCAACACACAAAAAACAAATAATATAGTGAAGAAATGGGCAAAAGACATGACTAGACACTTCTCCAAAGAAGACATCCAGGTAGCCAACTGACACATGAAAAAATGCTCAACATCACTCATCATCAGGGAAACACAAATCAAAACCACCATGAGATAACCCCTTATACCTGTCAGAATGGCTAACATTAACAACTCAGGCAACAAGAGATGTTGGTGAGGATGCAGACAAAGAGATCTCTTTTGCACTGCTGGTGAGAGTGCAAACTGGTGCAGTCACTCTGGAAAACAAATGGAGGTTCCTCAAAAGAAATTAAAAATAGAACTACCCTACGACCCAGCAATTACCCTACTAGGTATTTATTCAAGGGATACAGGTGTGCTAGTTTGAAGGGGCAAATGCACCCCAATGTTTATAGCAGCACTATCAACAACAGCCAAAGTATGGAAAGAGCCAAAATGTCCATCAATGGATGAATAGATAAAGAAGACGTGGTATAGATACACAATAGAATATTACTCGGCAATCAAAAAGAATGAATCTTGCCATTTGCAACTACGTGGAAGGAACTAGAGGGTATTATGCTAAGTGAAATTAGTCAGTCAGAGAAAGACAAATATATGATTTCACTCATATGAGGACTTTAAGATACAAAACAGATGAACATAAGGGAAGGGAAGCAAAAATAATATAAAACCAGGAAGGGGGACAAAAACAGAAGAGACTCATAAATATGGAGAACAAACAGAGGGTTACTGGAGGGGTTGTGGAAGGGGGATGGGCTAAATGGGTAAGGGGCATTAAGGAATCGGAATTATTGTTGCACTATATGCTAACTAACTTGGATGTAAATTTAAAAAAACAAATTAAATAAAAATTTAAAAAAAGAAGATGAGGAGGTTGTTCAAAAAGAAAAAGGTCTGGGACGCCTGGGTGGCTCAGTCGGTTGAGCATCTGGCTTCAGGTCAGGTCATGATCTCACATTTCATGGGTTCGAGCCCCATGTCAGACTCTGTTGACAGCTCACAGCCTGGAGTCTGCTTCGGATTCTGTGTCTCCTTCTCTCTCTCTGCCCCTCCCCTGCTTACACGCTCTCTCAGAAGTAAATAAATGTTTAAAAAAAAAAAAAGAAAAGAAAAAGGTCTAAGAAAGTGGACAATGCATACTAGTCAGGGAACTTGACACTCCTTGCTTTAATGCGGGAAAAATTAATTTCAGAAAAGTCTGCTATTAGGAAATTTCTTCAGAGTGAGTCCTATTTACCCGCTAGCACTTGTTATAAAATCACAAATTACATTGCTTCCAAGCTGTTGGATCCTTGCCTGAAAAGTTAAAGTCTCAACTTTGACAAAGTAAGACTCAACATTTGCAATGCTAACACCCGAGCCAAGTTTAGACAAGGACGTAAAATATGAAACTGTTAACCCCAAGCTACAATAAAAAACACTGCACTTACGTGAAATCTACTAAGCCTTTCTAAACACCATCATAATTTCCCAAGGAAAAAAAAAGATTTAGATTCTAGGGATTAAACTGGTCTTATGAGCTAAACTATAACCAGGAAAAGCACGTATGTAATAGGCAGTCCTGCCCGGAAAATACCACCTCTCAATCAGCACATACCTCTGGGGCAGGAATTGGCTTTCCCATGGATGCTTCCTTCCCAGATTTTCTGTAAGGGTTTTCAGTAACATCAGGAGGCTGTTTTACCAGTTCTGCTGCATCCATTAGTTTCATGGGAACAATACTGAATGCATAAAGATACTGTGGAGGAAAAAACAAACAAACATAAGATTAGGGAAAATACCATTTATCCAAATGTAACCAACCTAATTTATTCACAGAAGCTTCAGAAACTGAGTAAAAGTAAAAGAACAGCAACTGGCCTGTTTATGGCTCAGAGAATACACAATAAATCAAATGTCAATTTAGTGATCTCCGTAGAAGCTAACCAAGGGCTGGTGAAGAAACAAATCAAAGCCCTAGTCCTTACAAAAATCAGCTTTTACACAAAACTACAAGGCTCAGGTGGGACTTGTTCCATAACCCTTGCAGACACCCTACTTCTGTCTCTGATTCCTTTATCTTTGTGTACTTTTTGTTAACAGAATTGTGGCACTGCCATTCTTTTTTCCTGATGAAAATTAAATTAGACACCTTGATGTTTCCCTCTGATATTATACAATTTCTGCTGCATATGCTGATGGGTTTTCTTAGGGACTAATAGCAAAGAAGTAAATATTCATACAGGTATCTAGACACTCACGCTAATGGCACAGATACTGAAATCTTTAGATGAGACAGGAATAGATATTTAACCTCAGTACTGCCCACGGAAATGCAACTAATTAACAATGACACACCATCTTTCATCCATCACATTGGTAAAAGTGTTAATAAAAATTTGACACTACTCCGTGAGTATACTGTTGGTGAGGGTATAAACTGGAACAAAATTTTGAGATGAATTTAATAATGCTTGCCAAATTTAAAAATGTCCCTACTTTTTGACTATAGTCAAAAGACTTTGAATTGCTTAGGGCCGAGGCTAACGTGGCCCTGAGAATAAAGCAATAGTAAAATATCGCTATCATAAAAATAGTGAAAATACTGTGAGTGCTACAATAAAAAAAAAAAAAATCACAAATCTAAACTTACTAAGAACACGTTGGGCTTAAAAGTTTAAGAAACTACAGGAAAAAAAATATGTACTTGCTTATCTTTTCTGTGCATGTGGTTTATGACACGTTACAGAATAATCTTCACATTATTTATCTGGCTATTCTTCCCTTGCCTGATTGTTCTGATTTTAGCTGTCTCAATCTACAATATCCTGCTTTTGACCCTAGAGAATCAGAAATGCTCACAGGAAGTGAGAAAAATAACATACTTTTCTGGTATATTCTCTTTCATTCACCTGCACTGTTTTCTAGTACAAAGATAGATTCCAGGTATCACTAAGATTTTCCAAAGCCAAGGAGTGGTTAGGTAAATCCTATAAAGGCTTCTATTATTTCTGCTAAATGAAGTTGCTAAAAGAAACAAAGCAAGAGTACCATCTGAGGGCAAACTCATGAATACTTACAAAGACAACTACATGGATATGGGAAGAAAGGAACTTCATTCATTTGAAATTTTGCCTTTGTTCCACCGGGCCTATTTTCCCAAACCCTTCTCTAAAATCTCCTACAAAGGACCCAAGGAAACCTGACTTTTTATTATCACATCTTTAGAAAGGAGTCACTAAAGTGCTGGAACCTTGCAATTGGGGAGAAGAAAGATCTGAATGCTAAACTGGCAAGAAAAACATTTATCAGGCAGACAATGAATATTAACCTACCATCAAATACTCAAATCTTTACCTTTTTCTTTTCGGGATTTCCAACACTTGCCAAAGCTATGAACCTGGTGGCATGCTGTGCGGTTTCCTGCAGAACGATGTGGTTTCTAGAATATATTTGACAGATAACAGATTAGCAACAAACTTTACTTCTGACTTACAGTTATGAAATATGTACACTCCATAGGACCACAAGAGAGCACAGACTGTAAGTCTATCACCACCAATAACATAATCTCACAGGTTACCTATAAATCTAGTAAGATACTCACCCCTACTTCACAGGGCTATTGTTAGAAAAAAATGAGATCATATATCTGAAAAGCACAAAAACTCCAATATTTGGTTTTAAAAGAGTTGTAAGATTGGCAAAATGTTGATAATTGCTTAAATTGGGTAATGGGTATAGGAGGGTTCATTATACTATTTTTTTAGTGTAATAAAAATCTACAATAATAAAAACAGGATGAAATGAGTTTTAAGAAGAAAAATATGCTTCAATAGTAATTTATAGTATGATTTCATTTTTCTAGAAAAAATACAAAAATACAGGAGTGTCTATACTTTACAGAAAAAAAAAGTAACTGAATACACCAAAACACTTCTTCGAGCTTTTCTATGTTTTACAAGTATCCTACATTAAGCAACTTTTAAAATTAAAAGAAAAATGTTATGGGTTATATACATTTTTTATTTTTAGCAAGTTGACCATTACATACAGATAGCAACCCTTAGAGCTCTTTCCTTATGCTACCGAAATTTCCTGAATCATCACAAAATATAATTGTATTTTAAAAATCTAGCATAGTACCATTTTTTATAAGCAAATACACAAATATATGTTTTATATTCACATCACTGGAAAGGAAATAAGTCAAAACACAGTTTGTCTGCTATAACCTGTTTCTTTAAAGAAAGGAAGTACATTCATAATTGGTATAAGGTGAAAGTCATGCTGCTTCATATGCAACTTTTTCCAACTTTTAAAATGACTGAAACAAGTTTAGCCACAATGAAATAGAAGCTTTAATAATACATCAAGACATTAAGGAAAAACAGCTGAATGTCCTGCACAAGTGTCTTTCTTTAGAGCAAGCAGTGACTAGGGCAGTGGCCTCAAGAACTGCTAGTACTTCCCACTGTTAGACTATCCAGGTGTGGTAGGCAAAACAATAGCCGCCCAAAGATGTCCATGTCCTAATCCCTATAACCTGTGAGTGGTAGCTTACATGGCAAAGAAGAGCTAAGGTGATAGATGGAATCAATCAGTTGCTAATCAACTAACCTTAAGATAGGGAGATGATTCTGAACTACCTCGGCAAACCCTACATAATCACAAGGCTCCTTAAAAGTGGAAGAGGAGCTATGTGGATCCTGAGAAACTTAACAGGAGAAACTCCCATGGGGGAGGGGAAGGGAAAAAAAAAAAAAAAGAGGTTAGAGTGGGAGAGAGCCAAAGCATAAGAGACTCTTAAAAACTGAGAACAAACTGAGGGCTGATGGGGGGTGTGAAGGAGGGGAGGGTGGGTGATGGGTATTGAGGAGGGTACCTGTTGGGATGAGCACTGGGTGTTGTATGGAAACCAATTTGACAATAAATTAAAAAAAAAAAAAGTGGAAGAGGAGGGGCGCCTGAGTGGCTCAGTTGGTTGAGCTTCTGACTTTGCTCAGGTCATGATCTCGCATTTGTGGGTTTGAGCCCCGTGTTGGGCTTTGTGCTGACAGCTCAGAGCCTGGAGCCTGCTTCAGATTCTGTGTCTCCCTCTCTCTGCCCCTCCCCTGCTCACGCTCTGTCTCTCTCTCTCAATAATAAATAAACATTAAAAAATTAAAAAAAAAAAAAGTGGAAGAGGAAAACACAGGCCTACATCAAGAAGCAAGAAAAATCTCAAATACACAACCTAAACTTACAACTAAAGGAGCTAGAAAAAGAAGAACAAACAAAACCCCAAACCAGTAGAAGAAAGGGAATAACAAAAATTAGAGAAGAAATAAACAAAATAGAAACTAAAAAACCAGTGAAACAGATCAATGAAACCAGGAGCTGGTTCTTTGAAAAGATCAAAAAAATTGATAAACCTTTAGCCAGACTCATCAAAAAAAAAAAAAAGGACTCAAATAAACAAAATCAAAAATGAAAGAAGAAAAATAACAACAATACCACAGAAATACAAAGGATTATAAGAGAATATTATGAAAAATTATATACCAACAAACTGGATAACCAAAAAAAATGCATAAATTCCTAGAAACATATAGCCTCCCAAAACTGAATCAAGAAGAAATAGAAAATTTGAATAGATTGACTACCAGCAATGAAATTGAATCAATAATCAAAAAACTCCCAACAAATGAAACATCCAGGACCAGATGGCTTCACAGATGAATTCTATCAAACATTAAAGAAGAGTTAATACCTATTCTTGTCAAACTATTTCAAAAAAAAAAGCTTCCAAATTCATTCTATGAGGCCAGCATTACCCTGATACCAAAACCAGATATAGACACTACAAAAAAAGAAAACTACAGGCCAATAACTCTGATGAACACAGATGCAAAATTTCTCAACAGAATTATCAGCAAATCGAATCCAACAACACATTAAAAAATAATTCACCATTATCAAGTGGGATTTATTCCTCCCATGCAAGGATGGTTCAAAATTTGCAAATCAATCAGTGTGATACATCGTATCAACAAGAGAAAAGACAAAAACCACTGGATCACTTCAATGGATGCAGAAAAAGCATTTGACAAAGTACAACATCCATTCATGATAAAAGAAAAAAACCCTCAATAAAGTAGCGTTAGAGGAAACATACCTCAACATAATAAAAGTCATACATCAAAAACCCACAGCAAGCATCATACTCAATGGGGAAAACTGACAGCTTTTACCCTAAGGTCAGGAACATGAGAGGGATGTCCACTCTCGCCACTTTATTCAACATAGAACTGGAAGTGCTAGCCACAGCAATCAGACTACAAAAAAGAAATAAAAGGCATCCAAATAGGAAAGGAAGAAGTAAAACTTTCACTATGGCAGATGACATGATACTATATATAGAAAACCCTAAAGACTCCACGAAAAAACTACTAGAACTGATAAATGAATTCAGTAAAGTCACAGGATATTACATCAATATACAGAAATCTGTTGCATTTCTATACACTAATAATGAAGTAGAAATTAAGAAAGAAAAATTAAGAAAAAAATCCCATTTATAACTGCACCAATTATAAAATACCTAAGAATAAAGTTAACCAAGGAGGTGAAAGACCGGTACTCTGAAAACTATAAAACACTGATCAAAGAAATTGAAGACAACACAAACAAATGGAAAGATATTCCATGCTCATGGATTCGGAGGACAAATACTATTAAAATGTCCCTACTACCAAAAGCAATCTACAGATTTAATGTAATCCCAATCAAATACCAACAGCATTTTTCACAGAACTAGAATAAAAATCCTAAAATTGGTATGGAACCACAACTGACCCCGAACAGCCAAAGCATTCTTCAAAAAAAAGAAGAAAAATGGAGGTATCACAATCCCAGATTTCAAAATATACTACAAAACTGTATTAATCAAAACAGGATGGTACTGGCACAAAAACAGACACACAGATCAACAGAACAGAATAGGGAGCCCAGAAACAAACCCACGATTATATATTCAATCAATTAATTTTTGACAAACGGTATTGGGAAAAGTGGACAGCCATATGCAAAAAGAATGAAGCTGGACCATGTTCTTACACCATACACAAAAATAAACTCACAATGGATTACAGACATAAACATGAGACCTGAAACGATACAAATCATAGAAGAGAACATAGGCAGTCATTTCTCCGACACTGGCTATAGCAACATTTTTCTAGGTATGTCTCCTAAGGCAAAGGAAACAAAAGCAAACAAACTATTGGGACTACATCAAAATACAAAGCTTCTGCACAGCAAAGGAAACAATCAACAAAACAAAAAGACAACCTACTAAATGGGAGAAGATATTTGCAAATGACTTATCTGATAAAATATATAAAAAGGTTACACAACTCAACACCAAAAACACAATCCAATTTAAAACAGACATTTCTCTGTATGAACAGACATTTCTCCAAAGAAGACGTACAGATGGCCAACAGACACATGTAAAGATGCTCAACATCATCATCATCAGGGAAAGGCAAATCAAAACCACAACGAGTTCTTTATACCTGTACCTTCATACGAGTACCTTATACCTGTCAGAATGGCTAAAATCAAAAACACAAGAAAAAAGCATTGGCAAGGACGTAGAGAAAAAGGAATCCTCATGCAATGCTGGTGGGAATGCAAGCTGGTGCAGCCACTGTGGAAAACAGTATAACAGTTCCTCAAAAAATGTGAAGTCGATTTATTACATGATCTAGTAATTCCCCTAATGGATATTTACCCAAAGAATACAAAAATACTAATTCAAAAAGATATATGCACTTCTTCGTTTATTGTAGCATTATTGACAATAGCCAAAATATGGAAGCAACCCAGTGTCCATTGATTAATTAATGAATAAAGAAGATGTGGTATATATATACAATGGAATATCACTCAACCATTAAAAAAATGAAATCTTGCCATTTGCAACAACATGGATGGAGCTAGAGTGTATTATGCTAATTGAAATAAGCCAGAGAAGACAATACCAAATGATTTCACCCATGTTGCAATTTAGGAAACAAAACAAATGAACAAAGAAAAATAAAGAGAGACAAAAAACCAGACTCTTAAATACAGAGAACTGATAGTTACAAAGAAGTAGGTGGGGAGATGGGTAAAACAGGTGAAGGGGATTAAGAGTACACTTATTGCAATAAGTACTGAATAATGTATAGAAATGCTGAATCATATTGTACACTGAAACTAACATAACACTGTATGTTAATTACGCTAGGATTTTTTACAAAGAGTAGATGAGGGAAGAGGAAAAGTCAGAGGGAGAGTGACTACAGAAGGTTAAGAGTGACAACATTCAACCACAGTTACTGGCTTTAAGATGGAGTAAGGGGGCCATGAGCCATGGAACACAGATGATCTCTACAAGCTTAAGAAGGGAAAAAACCATTCTCCTGTAGAGCCTCCAGAAATGAACATAACCTGGCCAACACTTTGAGTTTAGCCCAGTGAAACCTGGGTCAAACGTCTGACCTACGGAACTGTAAGATGATAAACTATATTGTTTTAAGCTACAAAGTGTGTGACAATTTTTACAACAGCAATAGAAAACTAATACTACAGGGAAACTGCAAGTACCCATAAAAAGCTGTGAAGATGCTTCCGTCATTTATTTTAAAATAATAATGACTAATGAAGGTTGCTACCTCTGAATGGTGTTTTTAATGATGATAAACTGTTCCTCAAGGGAAGCAAAACACTCACAATAACACCCACAACACAGGAATGCAAAGCATGGACTGACTGTAATATCAGGTGCAAATGTTAGTGGAAATTTACCTATGTTAGTATTTGTATCGTGCTGGTTATGGGGTTTTTTTATTGCTCTGGTTGAAAACTTGTACAGGCTTGTCTTTTTTTTTTTTTTTTTAACAGCTTTATTAAGATCTAATTCAAATACTATATAATTCAGCCATCTAAAGTATATAATTCAATAGTTTTTAGCATATTCACAGAGCTGTGCAACCATCACCACAATCTAATTTTAGAACACTTTTATCACCAGTAAAAGAAACCCTGTACCTATTAGCAGTCACTCCCATTTCCCTCCAACCAGCCCCTGGCAAACACTACTCTACTTTCTATCTCTATGTATTTGCCTACTCTGGACATTTTATAATAAGTGGAATCATATAATATGCAGTCTTCTGTGTGTGTGGCTTCTTTGATTTAGCATAGTGTTTTCAAGGTTCACCCATGTAGCCTATCAGTATTCCATTCCTTTTTCTTGAATAACATTCCAAAGTATGGATGTATCACTTTTTCTTTACTCATTCATCACATGATGGATATTTGGGTTGTTTCCACTTTCTGACTATTATGAATAAAGCTGTTATGATCATTTGTGTACAAATTATTGCATGGGCTAGTGTTTTTATTTCACTTGGAACAAGAGTGGAATTCCTGGGTCAGACAGTAACTCTATATTTAAATCTTTTGAAGAACTGCCAACAGTTTGGCAAAGCGCCTGCACCAGCAATGACACCAGCAACGCATCAGGGTTCAGATGCTTCCACATCCTCGCTAACACTTATTACTTGCCTTTTTGCTTGTAGCCATCTTATGGGATGTTAAGTGGTATCTCACTGTGGTCTGGATTTGGATTACCCTAATCGATAATGTCAAGAGCATCTTTCATGTGCCTATTGGCCACTGGTATGTTTTGCGGGGAAATGTGTATTCAGATCCTTAAAAGTTGGATAGGTTAAAAAAAAACAGTTGGATAGGTTTTGAGAGGCTTGATAACCTCTGTTTTTAGTGCATGATTTCAGAAAACAATAGGCTTTTCTATATGGCGATATAACAGAAAAGGCTGTATTATTTATGATTATATCTTAGGCTTTGAGATTATAGGGAAAGGATAGGTTATTTTTTTCTTTATGACAGAGAGAGAATGTGCACATGTGTGTGGGGGGGGGAGAGGCAGAGAGAGAGGGAGAGAATCCCAAGCAGGCTCT